GGGTACAATTAGAAGCTCAGGAGGGTGAGAGAATCCACCAGAGCCAGAGCAGGCAACAGAACAGGCAGACTGATGAAATACACTGCTGAGGCGAGCAGCGGGTGCGGCAGGAGAGGTCTGCGAGCCAAGTGGGACCCTCGCCCAGTGACCAGGGATCAAACCGGCGCTGCAGAGGCTGCGGGCAGCTTCGCAGCCCAGCGCTCAACTGCTGCGCCACCGGGGAGGCCCTACATTTTTAATTTATATTTTTTAAAAGATGTATTCATTTCATTCAACTTGCCAAATTAATTGCATGTAACATTTTTAATAAAATTGTATGTTATCCTTTCAATTTCTGTAGAGTTCATTCTTTATTCCATTCCTGGTATTAGTAATTTGTATTTCTTCTTCTGTTTAGAGCTTTATCCATTTGGGGGGGGGGTTGTTTTATGAATATGCATTTGGTTTTGTTGATTTTTCTATTTGTTTTACATTTCATGGGTATCAACTCTTTTTTATTCCAGTCTTTCTACTTTCTTTGGGTTTAATTCACACTCTTTTCCTACTCTTTTTTGAAACTCATTAGATCATTGACTTTAGACCTTTCCTTTTTCAAATAAGCATTTAAGCTATACTTAAATGCTAACAGTACTTTAGCTGCATTTCACAAAATGCTGATTTGTATATGCATTTCCATTCAATTGAAAATACTTTGCAATTTTTTGTGATTTCTATTTGACCCTTAAGTTATTGAGAAATACGATGTTTATTTATCCAAATATTGGAAGATTTTCTGATTTCTTGCTCTCTTTCTGTTTTTTGTTTTTTGGGTTTTTTTTTGGTGGACAGAGAATATACTCTGTGATCTCAGTCTTTTTAAATTTAGTGAGAATTGTTTATGGTCTAGTATATGGTATTTTGGGTTAATGTTTTACATGCACTTACACATATGTTCTGTTCTTTATGAGCTGAGTGTTTTTCAGTGTCAATTCATTCAAATTGTATGATAGTGTTGATCAGGTCATATATATCCTACCTGTTTTTTGTTTCTTTGCTCTCTGTAATACTGGAAAAGAGGAAATGTTAAAACCTCCAACAACAATTATAGATTTGCCTACTTTTCTTTTAAACTCTTGTCAGTTTTACTTTGTGTGCTTTGATGCTTTGTTAGATCCATATTTTTTTAAATTATGTTTTGATCAATTAGCATTCATTATTATGAAATGTCCTCTTTACCTGTGTAAATGTTTCTTATTTTGATATTAATACTATCTTAAGAAAACTCTAGTATCTTTTTCCATCTGTTGATAATCTTTACCCGATCTTTAGCTTTATGGCTCATTTTTTATAAACAAAATATAGTTGGACCTTGATTTTTACTCATAGTGATAATAACCCTTATTGGTTTTAGACCATTTAATCTTAGTGTAGTTACATATCAGAATGGTTGAATTTATAGCTGCTTTGTTTTCTATTCCATCTGTTTTTTTTTTCTTTTCTTTTTGCCTTTTTTAAAGATTTAATATTTTAAGTGTAATCTCCTCTATTAACTTGTTATACCTTTTATTTTATGGATTTTGTAAGTGCTATTGGATTTATAATATGCAATTTTAACTTAAGATTACACTTAACTACTTTCCTCATAAAAAATATATTCATTTCCCTTGTCTAGTCCTCTGTGTTGTTTTTGTCATACATTTCACTTCTTTATTCTTATAAACTCTACATTGTAAATATTTTGCTTTAAACGGTCAATTTTCTTTTAAATACATTTAAAATTTGAAATTTAAAAATGAGTAAGTTGTTGGCTGATTTACATTTAGCATGCTTAAGCATGCAACAAAATATATTATCATTATATCCCTGTCCCATTGAATATAATAACAAAATTTGTGACATAAAAGATCTTGTTGGGTCTTTCCCTTAACATTGAAATCGAGATTTGCTAGAATGTCCATCCTTTGATTTGACAACTACCTGTTGTTCAATCACCTATGCCAGGTGTGGTGCAGGGTACCGAGGGTTCAGGAATAGAAAATATGAAATTCCTTCAGTGGAATTTATAATACAGTAGGGAAAAATGATAATAAAAAGATACGTATAATAAATATACTTTGGGATGTAGTGGTAATTTCTGAGGAGAAAAAGAGAAAGGAACCAAGTACTGTAAGGCAGTTTGGAAGGGGTTTTGACTGAGGAGCTATCATTTTAAATCAAGTGAAGGGGGAGATTTCACTGCAGAGACAACATTTGAGTAAAAACCTAAATATAGAGATGCAAGATGAGTAAGTTCTGGATTTGCTATGAAACATAGAAGCTATGGGTAAATATATTGTCTTGAACACTTAAAATAAATCTGTTAAGGGCATCAATCTCATGTTACGTTACCACATAACCCAAAAAGAGACTTTTCACAATAAACAAGCAAACAAACAAAATTTGCAGAAGTATGAGAAAGCAAGCAAAATGGACAGCACATGTGTTGAAAGTCATTCTGAATACATAAATACATTATAACATTGGTGGTGTTAATAAAAACTATAATAGTGAAAATAAGTAACATTGTATTAATAAAACATAACAACCAAAGGTACAAAGTTATCTTTAATGTAAAAAATGAGACCAATATTCAGTGGTGGGATTTTTTTTTTTTTTTTTTTTTTTTAATGCCTAGATCTTAGGAAATAGAAGATACTCAAAGCAACTTCAGGTAATGACTTATTTCAAAACCAGTAATAGTGAGGATATTTAAGGCTCCAAACCACAGTTTTATGAAAATAATTACTCAGATTACACTAACCACTTCCTGGGGCCTATCATTAGCTCTATTGACAAGGTACTAAATTTCTGAAAAATATTTATCACTTGCTTTCCATCATCCTTTCATTTGTGTTTTGCCAATATTTTTTGTAACATTTTTGTACATAGTAGGCAAAATGAATATTGAAATGCAAGTGCTTTTTTATTCAGAAGAAATGATCTATGCTAAGATCTCGATCTTGTCAAAACTGATTTGCAAATGCTGAGTTATTGAAATAGCTATTAAAAACTAATCTTGTTCTTTAAGAGGTGTATAAGAAAGGGTATTGGCTGGGCAACAAAAGAGGAACATAATAAACAAATCCTTATAACATGTCAGAGCTATTTATTGATCAGGGATTAGAATCTATGTGTTAGAAATATATAAATCTTTTAAAGTATAAAATGATACAACAAAGTACACAAAAGTCTACATTAATAAGCCAGTGTGGTTTAAAGATATTATTTCTACCTAGTTCTTTGTCACTGCAACAAGTAGTATTTACAGAATAATTTTAAATCATTTGATTAAAAATTTAGCATCTCTAATGTAGTTGACGAGGGTAAGAAATGTCAAAACTCTTAGTAGACAACTAAGGAAACCTGTTGATGATATAAAACTGTAGTTACTGACTTTCCAAACAGAGTAGATAGAGGACTGCTTTGACATTTTTGTAGTGTCTCAAAAGGGGAGATTTAGGAGAATATTTAGAAGACGTAGGGAATAGAGTTAGAGGGTGGTTTCAGGTTAGTTAGGTATCCTCAAATTTTTCTAGCTTCACCATCTATAATTTCAGTATTAACCCAATCCTTCTAAATAGTTCTTTTACAGATGCCACCACTAGTTCCAAGAACCTTATCAGTCAATCTGTTTAACATTAACATTTTTCAACTTATTTGGAAACAATGGGGAAAAGAACTTATGGTTAAATATACTAATATGATTAGATTGTATACTTTAAATGGACTAATTTTATGGTATATAAATTATATTCCCAGAAAACTGTTGAAGAACAAAGGAAAAACCCAACCCGTGATTAAAAGTTCAGAGATCAAAATTTTAATCCTGCCTTTTCCATAAACTATTCAATCAGTAAATATTTGAGAACTTACAATAGGCACAGGAAATCAACTAGTAAGCCAAGTTGACCTGATCTCAATACATAATAAAGTATTGATAGGAGAGAGGAGGAAAGAATGCGTACAAGTGTGCAAACAGGTATAAAGGGAGACATATCAAGATAGGAAAAGATAATACCTGTAGCCATGGGCTTAAAAGAATGCCATGTAACCTGAGGGCAAATGGGGTGAAAGGGCAGCCTATATAAGGAGGCCATGTAGGCAAGAGTTTTATCTTTTTTTGAGTGATAGAAAGTTCCACTGAGTTTTAAGGGCAAGGGAGTGGTGACATAAGTGTGTCTTAGAAAAATTACATTGAATGCATTTAAAAACAGGAAATAAGGGCCTCCCCGGTGGCGCAGGGGTTGAGCGCTGGGTTGCGAAGCTGCCCGCAGCCTCTGCGACGCCGGTTCGATCCCCGGCTGCTCCCCGGCTGCTCCCCGGCCACCGGAGGAGGGTCCCACACGGTGCGCAGACCTCTCCTGCCGCCCACTGCTCCCCTCAGCAGTGTACTTCGGTCCTTCTGCCTGCTCTGCTCCCCGCTCTGGCTCTGGTGAATTCTCTCACCCTCCCGCACTTCTGACTGTCCAGTGCTTGTATAAATAAATAAAATAAAATAAAAATAAATCTTTAAAAATAAAATAAAATAAAAACAGGAAATAAGAGGTGTCTACGAGGAAAAGAGCAACTCATTAGGAGGCTATGGTTTGGGTGACAATAATGGAAGTTTGGAAGTAGTGATAAAGAAGAAGATGTCAAAATGATTCCTACACTTCTGGAATCCAGAACTTGAGGAAAAAAATATCTTAGTTAAACTGACTTGGTTGTCAGGTAGGGTATTCCAAAACTACCTCCATCGACTCACTTTTAAAATAGTATATTTAATAAATAGCGAAAGACCAGAAATATTTTCATATTAGTATAATAGCATTGTAAACTCCCATCATTGTCACTTAAAATGTATCCATTTAATATATCAATGATAGTAGGTTGACATGATTCATAACTTCAGTAACTTAAATGCAATATGTTTTATTGTATTATCTTTATTTCGACAACACCTGTGATTTCGTTTTATCTCCCCCCCCCCCCGCCCCCCACAGTATTTGATTTTCATCAAGCAGCTGATGGCATCCAGGAGCAACAGAGACAAGAACAAGCAGGAAAAAAGTATGATATGTGTGTGTGTTTGCAGTTGAAGCATATGCAGACCCTTATAATTTAAGGGTCAAAAGACTAAGAAAAATAAATATTAGAATATTCTGTTTAGATTTCAGAGAAAAATCAATAGATTGGGTTGTGAAAATAAACTCATAGGAAATAGCATAAACAGAAAATGATCATATTAACTTAATGCTCTTTGATCTGACCATAAGAATTGTATTTTTTTGTCTAACTCAAAACTTGTTCTTGTTTATTTTAAGTTTGGGTACCACAAAAAAGGGCATTGGCCCAGTTTATTCTTCTAAAGCTGCTCGAAGTGGACTCCGGATGTGTGATCTTGTGTCTGATTTTGATGGCTTCTCTGAGAGGTAACTAATTTGTGTTTCAAAATGAAAATAGTGAATGAATTTTTAAAACTCAGAATGCAAATTGGTGAAGTTGGTATTCTAGTTGAATTGCAATGGTTGGCATTTTGTTTTTTGTTTTTTTTTATATTAATGTTCTTTTTATCACGTTCTAGTTGATACTTGGTTTCAGATTAATTTAATGAAAAATAACATAATAGTACCTTAAGAATACAAAGCCAAAATTATATTTAAGGAACAGAGTTTGGCATGGTTTGCTGAGAAACAGTGTGTTTCCAGGGTAATGTGGCAGTAGTTTGGAGTCACCACATCCTAAAACCTTGAACCTTAGATTATTAGGCCCAGAGACTCCATTATGTTTTCCCACCTAGAAATAATTAGCCTCTTGGGTACTGGTAAACAATTTTATACCTAGCTCACCTTAAATGATAGATACGCCACATTGACTCTGTAGCAGAATCTTCAATACCAATAAAAAGTTGTTTGGTGATTCATTAATGGAGTTGGTTAATTCAGTAACAGGTAGCATGAAAAGTATTACAGGCTGCATCCATTTTCTCTCAGCAGTTAATCTACTGTAATGGCAAGGAACCACCATTGAAATTATTGGGCATAAATTGTTAATGTCTTCTTCTGTCTATTTAAAAGCATCGTGTAGACTGTCCCCTTTTGTTTTCCACTAAATGTAATACAATTAATTCAGATGTAAGTCTTATGGCTACAGATTTCAGCTGTTTCCTTACCCCGTATCACCTTAATTATATTGTTGATATCTCTAAACTTGAATAAAAATATTTTCAGTATATCATTTATTTATGGCTGATATCCTACAGTAGATTTTATTCCTCAGAATATAATTTCAGTTTGGAGATTAATTTGTTATTAGAACAACTTATCTAGAAAACCATTTGAATTGTGTGATATTAGAATATTCTTAAACAGATCTAATGTCTTCATTTATCTGTGTTTCTCAGGTTCAAAGTTCTGGCTAATCAGTATAAATCAATATACCCCACTTTGGAAATAGACATTGAAGGTGAATTACAAAAACTCAAGGTAGGATCTCAGGTGGATTGTTTGTCCTTTTTAAGTCTAAAAGCCTAGTGGACTAAAGGTACAAGGTATATTGGAGTTCATTCAGATCAAGTAACTTTAACAAATTATTTAGTGGAGAGCAGGAGTAAAGCACCTAAAGAAAAAGTTAGATAAGTAGAGACCAGAATATATGTCTTATGTTGGTCTTATGGACAATGATAGGGAGTTTAGTTTGTATCCTGGAGATAATGAAAAGCTATTGAATAATTCTGAGGAGAAAAAAAGACTAGATTGCATTATATAAAAATCACTCAATGAGGAAGATAGCTTAACAATGGGGTGAGTGAGGAATGATGACTTTTAAAGTTCACCAGCCCATTTAGGAATGATACTTCATAGGATCACTCTCTTTAGCTCTGTACTCTTGAGAGACAAGGTAATTCACCAAATTTAGGCCCACAGTTGGCAACTATTCGGTGTCTGTGTTAGTCAGCAGTGAAGTGTCTGATTTTCTCCAGCCTCCCATTCCTCCACAGTCTTTCACACTGCTTCTTACATATCTGATTATTACTGCAACAGAGTATGAACATCAAGTCCATGTCTGAATAGGAATTTTCCACCTTTTTATGCCATTTAAGAAGGGCTGCACATCTTAGGTCTATCCATTCACTAAATTCCTAAACAAAATGCCAAGGAACATTCCAAATGGATTTCAGTATATTGATTGTTGCTTAGAATAAATTTTCTTTTAATTTTTGCCATTTTCTTTTCATTCTTTCATGCAACAAATATTTTCAATTATTGCTAGCAACTTGGAAATATTTATGTGTTAAAGTTGTGTGCATGGCTTTTAAGTTCTAGTTTATGAATGTTACTCGTAAATGTAAAATAGATGAATATAATAAACACAGCTGGGTAAGAAGGTTCTTAATAGGTAATACATGTTAAACCAGATGTTTAAGGATAAGGGACATGATGAAAGAGTATTGTCATTTTATTGATTTTTTAAAAAAAGGCTAAAACAGGAGTAAGTGCAAGATTGGAGACTAGACCAAGGAAGGACCATATTTTCATCAATGTGTATAACATTCTCAAGTATGTTCATGAATAAATCTCAGAATTCCCATACTATTGCAGCTAAGTATTTATATATAGTTGAAACTAGAGGGTTTTTTTGCAGTGATATGATAGGCATGGGGAAGCTCTTATTTATATATATTACATTTTAAATTGAATTCTAAAAGTATCTAGTGGTATTAAAACTTGAAATATGTTTTGAGAAAGTTGTAATGCACATATTAAAAATAGTATTTGATATTATCTAATTGTAATACTTCTGAGATATTTTACTATAGTAGAATACAATAGCAAAAGGATATTAATAAAATTATTGAATAATTTATTATGCTTTCTTGACAATGTAATTTGTGGGCTGAGCACATTTTGAGAGTGACCCTGATGCAAGTTGGTAGAGAAAATTCCCTTTTTTTTTTTTTTAAGATTTTAAAATTCATTTTTGCATAGAAGAACTGGGGTGTAGGCCAGAGGTGGAAGGTGGGTGAGAGGAGTCACCATAGACAGATTCGGGAGCAGAACAGTCAGATGTACTGAAATACACTTCTAAGGAAAATAGCAGATGAAACAGGTGCTGGGGAGCACCATGTGGGTCAACTCCCCAGCCAGGGATTGAACTCAGGCTGGGGATCGAACGCAGGCCATGGTGGTGGGCCGTCAAGGTGGTAGCACTGAGACTTAACCCCTCCAGGGAGTCCCACCAATCACTTTCTACATTGCATTTGTCACTTCTCATTGTCATAAAGCAGGTAATTTTTACTCATACTGGTTATATTGTAAATTTATTAGTATGCATTGAAATTGGGTTTTGCCTTTGTATATAGGGTTACATGGAAAGGATAAAACCAATGGTGAAAGATGGAGTTTATTTCCTATATGAAGCCCTACATGGACCACCAAAGAAAATCTTGGTAGAAGGTGCAAATGCAGCACTACTAGATATTGATTTTGGTAAGTGAAATATGACTTAGGAGCTTCACTGAACCCTAAGGTACTTAAGATATAAATAATTAATATTAGCATTAAGGGTTTTAAAACAAAGCTTTTATATTGTAGAGAATACAATACATGTGTTAAGTTGTATAGTTTGTTAGAAAAATGAAATCACTATTTGAATTCAATGGCTTTGGTATTCTATAAATTATGATTTTCATTATTTGACTCAGGGTTCAATTCTTGATCTCATTTCCTTGGAATTATAAGATGATTAGATGAATCCTATGGAAGGACCTTTTTTCTTTAAATTCAGCTATTTTTTATAATATCAAAAGATTTTATATGCATGTAATATATGCATAATCTATGGTCCGTAGAAGTCTGTTTAACTCCTGGACATGAGATTCTGGATGTATTTAGAGCATTCCCTCCTTTTTCCAAAAGTTAAAGCTTAACATCTTCACACAGCTGTTGGATTAGTTTGTTGAACTTTCCATCTAAACATGAAATAAAGAGAAACAACATAGTGTAAACATGAAAAGAAAGCAGGTTGGTTAATTAGCATAGTAGTTAAATATGAAGAGGAGTTCTGGGGGACAGATATACCACTTAATTTTCTCTTTCGTTTCTGGGATTATTCCCATAATAGAGGTCAAAAGGTAAGAAAATGTTACAGGTTGCTGCTGTACTTTAAATATTCACATCAAAGGAGTATAATGAATTTGTTTTAAACTAAGGGAAGATTATTAAAATATATAGATTACAAAGCTACATAGTAGACTAATACTAAGGTTTTGGCATTAATTATTTAGCAATCTGTTAGGTTAGTACCTGCCATACCGAACTGAGTTGGTAAACTCTGCGAGCACTTGAGAAACTGCAGTATAAGCAAGTTCTGCAGTTATAGCTTTAACCACCTGTTAATATCTGATTGTAGACAAAAGAATCAAGAATAAAACATTTTGAGACTCTGAGAGGTGGTTATGGTTATGTTCAAATTCTGTTCAAATCTGTCCAACACCTAGAATATATTTTGAGCAGAATTTTTTTTTTTTTTTTTTAAAGATTTATTTATTTATTTATTTATACAAGCACTGGATACATTCAGAAGCGCGGGAGGGTGAGAGAATTCACCAGAGGCAGAGCGGGGAACAGAACAGGCAGACCGACAAAACACACTGCTGAGGGGAGCAGTGGGTGAGACAGGAGAGGTCGGCGCGCCATGTGGGACCCTTGCCGGTGGCCGGGGATCGAACCAGCGCTGCAGAGGCTGCGGGCAACTTCACAGCCCAGTGCTCAACCGTGGCGCCATCAGGGGAGGCCCCTGAGCAGAATTTTTATAGTAATTCTGTTTTATTTTACTTTTAAATAAAGTAGTTATTTTCCGTCCTGTTTTAATTCTATTTTTAAATAATGTATGACTATTTGTATATTTTTATGTTTGTTTCTGTCTTTAGGAACATATCCTTTTGTAACCTCCTCAAACTGTACTGTTGGAGGTGTTTGCACTGGACTGGGTATGCCTCCTCAAAATGTTGGAGAAGTATATGGAGTTGTGAAAGCTTATACGACGAGAGTTGGTATTGGTGCCTTTCCTACAGAGCAGGATAATGTAAGCCTATTCCCTAGTAAATTAATTCAAAAAGTTTTAAAATCAATATTTATCCTTTATTTCCTTAACAAATACTTGGCTTCTGTGCTTTTATTAATTTGCAAGACATATCAAGCAATATATCTTTTTAAATGTACACACACCTTTATTGTTAGTTGCAGCACTTTGTGATCTAAACTCACCAATTAAAAGACACTGAGTGGCCAGTTAGGTCAGAAACCAAAACTCCACTTTATTTTATCTTCAGGAGACTCATCTGGGGTCCAAAAATAAACATAGGCTGAAAGTTAAAGGTTAAAATACATCCTACACTAAAAAAGCACACTAAAAAAGGCAGGGATGGCTATACTTATATCAGATAAAATAGACTTCCAGCTAAGACATTTAGCAAGAGAAGGGATGGATATTACATAATGATTAAGCACGCAAAACACAACTCATGAATATGTAAGCACCAAAAGAAGTAGTATCAAAATAATAAAAACAACTATTATAACCCTAAAAACAGACAAAGATAGCAGCACAATAGCAGTAGTAGACTCCAACACTGCATTTAAATCAATGGATAGACCAACCAGACAGGAAATCAGCAAGGCAACAAGAGTTATGAGCCCTAAACAGACATTTATAGGGAACTCCACCTCCCAAAAGCTACGTATAAATTCTTCACAAATACACATGTACAAAGGAACCTTCTCAAGGATAGACCATATATATACTGGGTCAGCAAGTCGAGTGGCTAAATTCAGGAAGATTGAAATCATGAAATACTGGGTTTTGTTTTTTTCATGTTAAAAGGGCAGGTTTATGAGAAAAGTAAGAAGGGGGAAAAGACAATTGCATAGACAGGTGAGCAGAGAGCTGTTGCTGCTTTTGAAGGGGAAAGTTTTATTAAAAGAAATGTCTGCATAGACATAGGCAGAGAGTCCTCAGACAAGAACTGCTACAGAAAATATCTGCTACAGGAAATCAACCACAAAAGAGGTCGGAAAACCTCAAATACGTAGAGACTAAACAACATGTAGTGTAGTGAATATTGGGTTAATAGGATATCGAAGGAGAAATTTTAAAATAGCCGATACTGACAAAAATAAAGACATGAGCTACTAAAACCCTTGAGGCCAGCAAAAGCAATACTAAGAAGAAAGTTAATAGCAATATGGGTCTGTCTGCATCAAGATACAGGAGAGACCTCTAATAAATAAACTTACATCTTAAGTAACTAGAAAAAGAACAAAAGTAAACAAATAAGTGGCAGTAGAAGGAAAGAAAGAGCAGAAATAAATGATATCGAAATCAAAAAGGTGGGTTCAAAAGATCTATGAAACCAAAAACTGATTCTTTGAGAAGATAAATAAAATAGACAAACCTTTTGTTAGGTTCATTAAGAAAGATAGAAGACTAATAAGTAGAACCAGAAATGACAAGTTACAACAGATGTTAGAGAAAACAGATTTTCTGTATGTAGTATCATATCTCCAAATAATCTTAGTTTAATTTCTTTTCCAAGCTCTATCGCTATTGTTTGTTGTTATCTAATTGCTGTCATTAAAATTTCTAATACTGAATTAAACAGATGAGGGCATCTTTGTCTTGTTACTGATTATTAAAAGGAAAGCTTTCAGATTTTCACCACTAAGTATTGACTGTAGGTTTGTGATATATGGACTTTATTATATTGATGTAGGTTTTCAGTTCCCATTAAGAGTTTTTATTATAAATGGGTGCTTATCTTGTCTATTTTAATACTAACAATTTTGATATATCAAATTAACAACTTTATGTTTAACATACAGTATTTAGGTTTGTTTAGTATATTAATCTAAATTTACAAAGTCATCTATATAATAAAGAAATAATGACTTTTAAAAACATGGTAAAAAATGAAAGCAAGAATGTATCTATTCCAAATGATATGCCTCTCTCACATAAAATCCTTCATCTCTAAGGAAGTCTTTCATCAACACTGAAAGATGTTGATCTCAAAGAGGTTTTGACTTATAATATGGACTTAAATATCATTCCACTAGATTTATAGCATTAGTATTCTTTCTAGTCATGGAATTTTATTTTCTGTACTCTAGGAAATTGGAGAATTGTTACAAACAAGAGGTGGAGAGTTTGGTGTAACTACTGGAAGGAAAAGGAGGTGTGGCTGGCTCGATCTTGTTTTGCTCAAATACGCTCATATGATTAATGGATTTACTGCGTGAGTATACCGCAGAACATTTCAAGACATATTGGGACATTTCATGACCACATTGATTTCATGCAAATCAGTTTTGAGGTAGTATTTATGATGGAAAAATTTCACTGTTTAGACTCCAAGTTGGAATCGTAATTCAAAGTATAAGTGGAGCTAAGGAGAAAAATACACAAGAGACGTGTCCCAGTTTATCTTCCTAGACATCCGACATAGGGAGAAAAAAATTGTAATATTCTTACAGGTACAGGCATATAAGTATACAGGGAAGTAAGGTAGATAGAGAGAAAAAGAATAAGCATGAGTGTATATACAGAGGGAAATCAATGCAACAGTGGTTCAGTGCCTGGGTTTGATGTCTGACTTCTGTGTTCAAATCTCAGATATCATGCATCATTCTGTGTGACTTCAGGAAGTTGACTTTTTTGTGACTGTTTTCATCATCTTTAAAACTTAGATAATGTTACTTTCTACTTCAAAGGGGGTGTTTTGAAAATTAGGTGAGAAATGTAGTAAGAGCATATAGTATAATGCCTGGTTCACTGAAAATGATCAGTAAAAGTTAATTGCTACTAATACATATACGTCATTATGTAAACATTATGTATTGAGTAGGCTTAGCTTCTAGAAAATAACAAAAGTTAAAAAAATAACATGGATGAGAATTCCAAAACATAATATTTTATCTAATTTACACAGGTTTTCCAGTCAGTATTTTCAAATTTTACTGTATCATTTCTTCACTCTCCTTTGACAATTTCTGACCAGAAAGGTGGAGGTGATGGTAACCAGGGTGAAAAAATGAGGGTTGCTGGCATATATGTAAATGTGGTCATCACTGTGGAATTTTGAGTTCTGTTGTGTTCCAGAGCCTCAAAATGAATTCATCTTTTACTCTAGCAGCTCTCCCACAAATATGTGTTGTTGATTCATCATACGAAAACTGAGGAAGAGTATGTGGACACATCAGTGAAAAACCTGTTGTTATTATTAGAAAAGTAATTCACTGGTAGATCAGTTTTCATTTTTATATTATGAGGAAAATACATCTTTTTATTTTCTTCTAATGTGTTATGTGTGCCATAATTTAAAATACATTCCTTGAACCAGTTTTCAGAATTGCTTTGAAACTTTTCAGTTTGCGTGATTTTCCTTTTACTCTCCATCAAGTGAGATGCTAAGGTCTTTGAGAGTTTACTGTCTTAATATTGCCTTTTCCTCCAAAATTAGGTTGGCACTTACCAAATTGGATATTTTGGACATGTTTACAGAAATCAAAGTTGGAGTTGCTTACAAGTTAGATGACAAAATCATACCTCATTTCCCAGGTACTCTTTTTTTGTAGACTATGTATAAAGACTATTATAAACTGAACATATTAGAGCACTTTTATAAAGCTGTTCTGTATAATTAATGCTGTATAGCCACAGGCTTGATTCCCTTTGTGACTAGTGCAAGCAGATTCACTTATTATTAGCATTTGTTTAATAGCTGCTATGCATTTGGTGCTGAGTGTTAGCCAGTACATGCTGAAAATGAAGATAGGAGAGAAGACAAATGGTACCTCTGAGCCCAGCCACCTTGCTTCTGAATCTCATCTTCCCTGTTTTGAAAGTAACTTCTATGTAGGCATTCCTCCCTCCCTTGAGAAAAGTGTTTTTTTAGGAAATAGTCTTTCTGGTGCCTCAGCTGGTTACCCAGGAGAGTTAACAGGTGTAAAGTGATCTCTTCAATCTAGCAATGCTGGACTCACAATGTACCCTGCCTCTTACCTTCTACTAACACTGCTTGATCTCTGGAATCTTATCCCGCTCATTTGTGTGAGTCTCTTGATTCCTTCTGTCGTTTAGCACAAGCAGATGACATTTCTATTTAGTGTGGTTAAGATGCCTAGAACAAATTTAGTGGTATGCGTTCAACATGTTTATGTTATGGGTCATGGGGGAGTACTCCCATATCAGTACACTTGCTTATTCCACTTTATAGTCCACTATCTACTGCTCACCTTGAACCGGTACCCCCAGGATCCATTTCCATACATACTCCTTGGTTCCTCCAGGTAAATATTAACCCAGTTGGACAGATCCATCATAATACAGTCCCTCTTCTCCCTGAGCAGTCCCAGTGTTCTGTGGCTAAGTTATGATGTAACTTGACCTATATGTTGTTTGCTGGTCAGGAGGGCATGGATAAAAAGGTAGATCCGGAATGGGGCACATGCTGCCTTGCAAGTTAAAGACCTCTGCTTTATTTTCAAACAAGAGGAAGCCTTAAACTTTAGCAGGAAGTAATAGGACATTATGCAGACCTAAAGAGTTCAGTGAATCTGAGAATTCAGTATTTTCTAGTGTGCAAATCAAGATGAGATGTACCATACAAAATCTCAGGATACCACATTTTCCACAAACAGGACTCTGGCCTTGTCATAGCAGATTAGATTTGCTGGATTGGAGAATTCAGCTTTCTCCAGAGCTCTGCTGTCTATGTGATTAATTCCTGAGCATTGTCATCACCTTTCTGTCTTCTGCCATAGGACTTGAGCTGTTGCCACGGAAGCCCTTTGACTTTCACACTTTGCCTTAAACTGATCACAGTCTTTCATCAATCTATCATTGTCTTTTTCCAGTTCATGAATGGCATTCATCTAGAGCCATCCAGTTCCATTGTTCCATTGTGCTCGTTTCTCAGTACTACAGTTATTTTCAGTGCTTTCCTTTCTACCAGTGCAGCATCCCAATTCACCTTCCATAAAAGTTTTAACAACTGCAATGTGCCAGAGATAGTTCATCTTCTACCTGTCATCAGAGATGGTCCTCACTGCCAGCCTGCTGGCCAGTTTCCAGCTCCAAGTTCTTAATTTTATAACCTCCTTCCTCATACAACTCCTGGTACCACTACCTTATATTGAATTCCCTGGGGAACAAACTTTGATATAGAGAATGACATACAAATATCAATAGTTTGTTGATAAGTGCTCTGAGCAACATATGTGAGGGGGAGATTTGAAGTGAAATGTAATTACATAAAAATCCTCCAATGAATTACATTGGGTGGTCTGGGACTAGAATGGCCGTTGTAGTTGTCCCAAATTAAGGTGTGAGTAGCCAGGTTCTTTATAACTCCACATTAGCAAATCATTGGGCTGTTCTGGAAAGGAAGCTTCCTTCATTGTGTTTAAGGAAGATTCTGCAGAGACTCTGAACTATGAGTTGTCAGCAGGCAATACTCCCACAACTTTGGAAATGAGTGTCTCAATTCTGAAGAGAAAAATCTGGACAGAAAAATCTGGACTGTGTACTGTTGCTTTTACTATATTAGCTCTAGTCAAAGAAACTGCTCTTACATATTTTTAGTATATTATCATTTTCTGTTAGGGGACATCTGGAGAAAATGATTATGACAATAAAGAAAATTTCCAACTTGGTTTTTGTACAGAGTCGCAAAAACAGTAGAAGATTTCTCAGATGAAGCAAGGTGCAAGTCTTTTTGTGAGATTGCTGTAGATCTGCAGATCGACAATACTTAGTCCTATTGTACAGAAATCTAAAACGTTCTAGAAAGTTTTCAGTTTGGCACCAAAAATCATTTGGCTGAAAAACTTGACTTACATTGATGTTGGCACTAATAGTATATGTTGTTATTATAGATATTTCTGTAGTTAGGACAAATACTTAAACTGCTTAGAGTGAATCCCCCTCTATTCCTTCAGAAATATGTTTTTGTTTTTGTTTTGGTTTTAAAATTTATTTATTTATACAAGCAGTGGGTACAGTCAGAAGCGCGGGAGGGTGAGAGAATTCACCAGAGCGGGGAACAGAACAGGCAGGCTGATGAAATACACTGCTGAGGGGAGCAGCGGGCGCTGCAGGATTGGTCTGCGTGCATGTGGGACCCTCGCCGGCGGCCGGGGATCGAACCCGCACTGCAGAGGCTGTGGGCAGCTTTGCAGCCCAGCGCTCAACCGCTGCGCCACCAGGGGAGGCCCCAGAAATATGTTTTATCAAAAAATACTACCCCGGATCTTTTGCACTGTTTTTACCATTCTAAATTCTAAAAATTTTTAATTCTACTATTTGGCTTCAAGGATGTCGATAAGAAATTGTGAACCTAAGCTATATATCACAGAGTTGTTTGACAATAGCCAGTATACACCATGAACATATATATTCTTTAACTTTTAGCAAACCAAGAAGTTTTAAATAAAGTTGAAGTTCAGTATAAGACTCTCCCAGGATGGAATACAGATATATCAAATGCCAGGACATTTCAAGAACTACCTGTTAATGCTCAAAATTATGTTCGGTTTATTGAAGATGAGCTAAAAATTCCAGGTGAGCATAAACATTTTATAACTACCTTTACTTATTCTAATTTCAAATTAACTGTCTGACTGTAAAATAAGATCAAAGAAAGATCTTTATTTGTAAAGTGCTCATGATTTATTTAAATGCCAGTGAAGATATGATTTTATTCCTTAAATATATATGCACCTGAAGACAATAAATTACCTCTCACCCTTTTTGACTGTCTTAATTCTGTTCATTTTTTTAACCAAACAGCATTCATTCTTTTTTTCACCATCTTAAAAGGTTGTTCTTTTTTTTTTTTTTTTTTTTTTTTGATTTATTTATTTATTTATTCATACAAGCACTGGGTACAGTCAGAAGCGCGGGAGGGTGAGAGAATTCACCAGAGTCAGAGCAGGATGCAGAACAGGCAGAAGGACCGAAGTACACTGCTGAGGGGAGCAGCAGTCGGCAGGAGAGGTCTAGCGCGCCATGTGGGACCCTCCTCCGGTGGCCGGGGAGCAGCTGGGGATCGAACCGGCACTGCAGAGGCTGCGGGCAGCTTCGCAACCCAGCGCTCAACCGCTGCGCCACAGGGGAGGCCCTTTTTCACCATCTTAATAATACATTCTTTTGTATCTTTACTACCACTAAAAATGGTCTGTAGTTTGCTTTTTCAATTAGGTTATAACACTTTTGAGAGGTGGGCAGTTTCTTGATTAGAAAATAATGGGAACAGACAATAGGAAATTCAGTTGAAAAGAATAGAAGAATAAAGAATAAAACTTTATTCAAAAACAAATGTAAGTTGACCAGGGAGTTCGGCCAAAGCAAGTTACAGTTGAATTAGTTATATGAAGTTTGTTTTTTTTTTTTTTTTTAAGATTTATTTATACAAGAACTGGGGTACAGGTCAGAGGCGTGGGAGGGCGAGAGAATTCACCAGAGAGCGGGGAGCAGAACAGGCAGGCAGACTGAAGTTACTGCTCTTGAGAGGAGCAACAGGCGAGGCAGGAGAGGTCTGCCACACCATGAGGGTTTCTCTCTGGCTGGCTGGGAATCGAACCTGCACTACAGAGGCTGCGGACAGCTTCACAGCACAGCGCTCAACCTGCTGCACCACCAGGGAGGCCCCTGAAGTTTGTTTTAACATATTGCTTTTTTTCTTTTATTTCCACGTGTTGGAGGTTTGAGAGACAAAGAGTGAATTGAGTGGGAAATATCCTCCATATAAAATTTATTATGCTTTTATTTTGATTTTGTATTGTGGTTCTTTTGTATTTGTGGGTTATCTAAAACATGAATGTTGCTTTCAATATTGCTAGCTGCCCTTCCAGATTGATGTCAAATTTAATAAGCATGTTTGCTCACTGCTCTCAGCCAACTTTTTTTTTTTTTTAAGATTTTTTAATTTATTTATACAAGAACTGGGGTACAGGCCAGATTTGCGGGAGGGTGAGAGGATTCACCAGAGGCAGAGTGGGGAACAGAACAGGCAGACTGATGAAATACACTGATGAGGGGAGCAGTGGGCGCGACAGGAGAGGTCCGCCGTGCCATGTGGTACCCTCGCTGGCCGGCCGGGATCAAACCATGGCTGCAGAGGCTGTGGACTGCTTCACAGCATGGTACTCAACTGCCTACGCCACCAGGGGAGGCCCTCGGCCAACATTTTTTGACGTATAAACAACAGTAAATTTAACAATGTCAGTGTCACACATTACCCCTGTCTTGTAGATGATTCGAGACTCCCACAGACAGTACAGCAGGCATTTCCTAAGACTGTGATAAATAAAACAGTATTCTCTTCCAGATATTTCTACTTTTTTGAGAGATAAAACTTAAAGTGATACATCAGTATCTTCATTAGCTTTCATTTATCTTTTCTAATCAGAAACTTGATCAACAGTCTTTAGGTTTCTGTTGACTTGAACCAATGTTTTACTATCCTAATTACTAGGAACTGAGGAATTTTAACTGTCTTGCACTCAAAACAGTAAACAATAAGTCCAGCTACCCTGTGCTACACTGTCTCGATTGCATGTTCTATTTAGACATTGGCATAATCTGCTACCAGAACAGAAAGATGACCAAAGGCACCGAGGGAATAATGCTGACACTAAGAAAACTAGGGAGACTTCCTATCTTGTAATCCCAATGACTGAATGTTGCAAATGAACTAACACTATTCTTATTCTTTTTTTTCCCCTACCAGTTAAATGGATTGGTGTAGGTAAATCCAGAGAGTCTATGATTCAACTCTTCTAAGGATTTCCATTGGCGCAAGCAAGAAACACTCCTTGAGATGGGAAAAGGACTTTCTTAAATGTTTCATTTATGAACTTCAAGTTTCAAGAATAAAGACATTGAAGTGAGTTTTAAGCCCTACAGTTGTTTCCAGTCTTTTAAGATGGCTGGTTGGTATAGAGTAAAACTTTGGCATATTCCAGTGTCAGCTTCCTTAGCTGGCATAATTGCCGAATCATTTGTTGCTCCTGCTGCTCGTGGTGCCACATTTTCTTTTCATGTATAGTAATAGTATAACCCATGTTTGAAATCTAAAATGGAATTACTTTCAATGTAGTTTTATTCATTATTGTCATTGTGTGTTCTTAGGTTTTACCTCTATTAAATGGTAACAATAATGCAGTTTTGCACAGATATTTTTACATTCTGATCATAAAAGTCTGTCATTGAAATCTTTCTGTTACAAAAAAAAAAATGGAAAGGAGTTCTGTAAATTTTTGTAATGCTATAAATTCCATTTAAATTGTGAGCTGTTTATTTTCTGCTGAGACCATTGCAAAATTGAGTTTTGGTAGAGGTTGGGTGGAGAGGAGTTATATTCATGGGTTCTTTAATTTGTACAGAACACAAAACTTATTTCTCTCTGTAAATTATTTGACACATTGAGCATTTAACTACATGTTCAAAGAGAAAAGGTATTTCCTAAAACAATCTTAAAGTTTAAAAATATTAGCTATTAAAGATCTGTTGTGATAATTTGGTGGGTATTTTTTCTTTAATTTTAGATATTAACTCTGAAATGTATATTCTTCCTTTTTTTTATCATAACCTAATTTTCTAAATCTAGTGGATTGATTCTGAACATTGTGCCTGCCAATATGCCTACAAAATAATGTGTACAAATGAACCCAAATTGTTGGTCATAATTTTGATCATGCCTTTATTTCTCCTTTCTTTAAAAAGAGAGGTGTTCATTTTGACAGTTAGGCTTAACATACTGTGTTGTAGATTACCCTTCAATGAACTATTTTAAATGTTTAAATTAGATGCCACTTAAATTTATGATACCATCAATAGCTGATTAAAAATAACCAAATATTTCTAGTATGCTTTGTGTATTGTGTTTCTGTTCTGATGAGAAAAGTAATAGTAATGCTGGTATATATAGGAAGGAGCTTTATCCCTGTAGTATATGGTAATAAAGTGGGGAGAAATCAAAACAGAATCTTTGAAAACATCTAAATATATCATTTATCTTCATTAGATATATTTTTTGTTAATACTTCATTCAAGAAAAATTCTTAAAAAATCAGCCCATTGGATTCCATAAGTAAAAGGATAGTACCGGTGATCTGACAAGCACATCACTGATCAATAATGACCATTATGTAAAAATAATTTATATTTAATACATAATAAATAATTTTGATTTATACTAATGGAAATTGAATGAACCTTTATTTCTCCTTAATCTTTCCTCTTGCTACTTAGAGTTCAAAATTAGATAGACTACTCAGAGCCAAAATGACTACTCAGAGCCAAAAGTACTATTAGAATAAGCATTTTAAAGTCCACGTTCTTATGTCGGCTAAAAACATTACATTATTGAACATAGTTTTATGTTCAACTTAATTACATAGACCCCATACTCCAAGTCAGGAGTGCTCTTATTTTTTTACCGAAAAAGTCTAACCTTTTCTGTTGTTGGTAGAATTTACTTGCTTTTGATTTTGAGTGATTCTCTACTGCTTCTCTTTAAAAGTGAGCTTTTTGCTAATTAAATTGACTAAGAGAGGTTCTTTTCAGATACAGGTCTGTCTGTATTTTACAAATCTTTCCTGAATGAGTATATTTGTTCTTAAGGAAGCATAATGAGAGCACAGAAAAATTACTGAAACAAAAAGTACATATTCAAAATTTTAAAACCAGAAATTGATGGCAAGAAAGGTACTTCAGGGCCTCCCTGGTGGCACAGGGTTTTCTCATCACTATCAAACTATCGCCAGCCACTGTGGCATGAGGTCAGTCCCCAATCAGGATGCTAACACACATGGAGCAGCAGACCTCTCCTGTCTAGCCCATTGCTCCCCTCAGCAGTGTATTTCAGTCAATCTGCCTCTTCTGTTCCCCACTCTGTCTCTGGGTAATCCTCTCACTCCCCATATCTCTGGTCTACACCCCAGTTCTTCTACACAAAAATAAATAAAATGAATCTTTTAAAAAAAAAAGATTAATGGAGCCATATTAAACATTAAAAAGAAAGAAAAAAAGATATTTCAATGGGCTGGAGGCCTATTAAATATGTGTATATGTGTCCATGTGAACGTGTGTGTGTGTGTGTGTGAATGAATTACATAGTTGAGTGGGAATGCCAGTCCTTCACAAGTGAACATATTTGATTCTATTCCAGTTACTTATGTAGGGTTCTCTAACTGGACAATAGTATTTTAAGGTGGAAAAATGAATGTGCCAGAGCTCCTAATACAAATTTGGAAAAGAAACATGCTGAGAGGAGGTTTTCTAATATAAAACTACTATAATCAAAGTATGTGGTATTGTCATGGGAAAGAACAGATTCATAAAGGAAATAGTTTAGATATTCCAGAAATGGATGCAGCATATATGGGAACTTAATACAGGCTAAAAATGGCATTTTTTTCCCCATTGGGAACAGATTGCATTAAATAGAAAAACAATCTCACATAACCTATTTTCAGATGCAATAAAACCCTAAATTATCAAAGTTTTAGGTAATGAAAATAATAAAGGAAGATATTTGGGAGCAATCTAAAGAAAAATAGGTAACTTGGAAACCCCAAAGAGAAATTAATAGTTTTGGCCAAATGAAAAGTTTTATGTAACAATGAACAAAGCAATTTTTATAAATTTATGTATTTGTTCAACTGAGGTAGCTATAGAGTCCCTCTCCCTCCACATTGGGTATCACCACCTTAATGCACCCACCACCAAATCTCTTTGTGAGAAAGTCCCCCAAGTCCATTGTGCTTCCTTCCTCTGTTCTTTTTTTTTTTCTTTTTTTAAGATTTATTTATTTATTTATACAAGCACTGGGTACAGTCAGAAAGAAGGGCGGGAGGGTGAGAGAATTCACCAGAGCTAGAGCGGGGAGCAGAGCAGGCAGAAGGACCAAAGTACACTGCTGAGGGGAGCAGCGGGCAGCAGGAGAGGTCTGCGCGCCATGTGGGACCCTCCTCCAGTGGCCGGGGAGCAGCCAGGGATCGAACCGGCGCCACAGAGGCCGTGGGCAGCTTCGCAACCCAGCGCTCAACCGCTGCGCTACCGGGGAGGCCCCCTTCCTCTGTTCTTAATCCTCCCTCCCTGCTTCCTTTTCCTCCTCTGGATGCTTCAGTCCTGGAGTCAACTTTCAAAGACTAGATTGTAAGCTTGTGTTTACCTGATCCTTAGTTTGGTTTCTCTACATGCCACATATTAGTGACACCATCCAGTATTTGAATCAAGGTTTTTAAAAACCTGAGTACAAAAACTGGAGAAAAAACATTTCAAGATATCCCTAATGTATTTAAAAAGCACACACAATTAAGAGCATGACAACTAATAGAAAGGTGGGCAAGATAATATATACAGTCAATGTGCCACCGAAAATTTGATGTCAGTGGCCTAAGACGTGAAAAAGTGTTGACCTTCCCCTATAGACAAGAAAATGTAATACAATGAAATACCACCTTTTACCTTGCAGATTGGTAGTTATAAAAGGTAAAAGTAATGCTACCAAGAGTATTGGAGAAATAGGTACTTCCAAGTACTGCCAGTGGGAATGAAATTACTACAGTATGATTTGGGGGAAGCAATTTCTCTTACAGTCTATATTTGACCTATCAGCAGTCTCACTATGAAAAGCATTTTAAAGATGTTTTTCTTATTTTGCATGTAATTGCAGGTTTGGAAGCACATGAATATCCATGTTTTATGAAACCTTTGAAAACAATTATAAGGATGACTGGACATGTTAGCATATGAACATGTTTTCCATAGTATAGCACCATGTGTAAGGAGTGGAGAGAGGAAGAAAATTCACAACCCTGTGAGGATAAAATATGTAAGGGTATATAACAGTTAATATTGATCACTAGGAGGGGAATGTGAGATTTCCCTTTACAAGGGAAACCTCATAGTATACATTGTTGTATTATTTAGGCTTTTTTAAAGCACTGAATATTTTTAATCTTGAATATTTTAAGATATAACTTGTAGACTAAATTGCTATTTCCAGTTTGCCTGAATATATTTGGCGATTATTAATTCAGAAGTTCTCATTATATATCATGGCTAGTATACTTTTGGAAAAATATCACTGGGATGTTGGCATTTGGCATTATTTTATAGACTCAACCATTAGAGACAGTGAATTAACATCCACAGTGACACAGAGAGATCATGAATCTCTATATGGTTTCACTAGACTCAGCATATAAACTAAGAGATTGCCTGTTTGGAAAATGCTTCCAAAATTTTAGGGAAGAGAAAATTATTTGCTCTGTAACTTGTTTTCCACTTATTTTCTTTATAAGGTTAAAGGAAATTTTTATTTGGAAACATCAACCTATACTATTAACCTAAATGTGTGTTCACATTTATAGAATCCACGTAAGAAGGAAAATAAGATTTGGGACACATTTATACACAGCATCCAACCATCTGTCTTCCTTACTTTACAGACTTCTGATCTGATTTTATTTTTTATTCTGTTTTTGTTTTTATTTTTGTTTTATTTTTATTTTTAAGTGATTTTCATTTGAATAAGTATATGACCCAGCAATTTCACTTCTGAGTATTTATTAAAAAAAAAATGAAAACACTGGCTCAACATGATATGTACTACCATGTTTATTGCAGTGTTATTTAAAATTCCTATTTATAATAGGAATCAGTGTTCACTGATGGATGAATGGATTAAGAAATTTGTGTGTGTGTGTGTGTGTAAACTGTTAACAACAAGTGGCCCTTGAGGGCAATATTCTAAGGGAAATTAATCAGACAAAGACAAATACTGTATGATCTTACTTATGTATGTAATCTTAAAAAAAAAAAAAAAACTAGCAACAAGAAGAACCTATAGGTACAGTGAACAGAAAGATGATTGCCAGAGGTGGGAGTGGTTTAAAGGAATACACTTCCAGTGATGAAGATAACTCATGGAGATACAAATTACAGTATAGCAACTATAATTAATAATGCTATATTGCATATTTAAAAGTTGGTAAGAGTAGATTGTAAAAGTCATCCCAAGAAAAAAAATTTTATAAGCACATATAGTGACAGATACTAACTAGACTTATGTCAAATTATACTGTACATCTGAAGTCAATATGCTATGTTAATTATACCTCAATAAAAATAATATAATTTTATGATTTAGCAAATTTAAAGAATTGTGCAACCATCACCATAATCCTGTTAGAATTTCTACATCATTAGTGTCCATTTGTAATCACTCCCTACTCCCACCCCCAATCTCATTAATTTGCTTTGTCTCAATAGGATTGCTTTTTCTGAATATTTCACATAAGAAAAATCTTGTGATATTTCAGATGTGGTCCTTCGCATCTGGCTTTCACTTAATGTAATATTTTGATGTCACTCTGTGTACTTCATCTCTTTATTGCTAAGTGGTTTTCCATTATATATTTGTACCACATTCATCTGTTCTTGAACACCTGGATAATTTTCAGTTCCCGGAGCTTATGAAAAATGCTGTTATGAGCATTTGTATGTAAGTCTTTACATGGATATATCTTTTCAAATCTCTTGGATAAATACCTCAAGGTAGGATATCTGGATTATAGTGCACATTTATATTTAATTTTTTAAAACATCCAGAGTGACTATCACTTTAATAAAGCCATGTGTAAGAGTTCCTGTTTCTCCATATCCTTATCAATACTTGTTATTGGTCTTTGGTTGTAGGTATGAAGTGCTATATTCTTGTTTTAAATTTCATTTTCTTAATGTGACTAGTGATGTTACAACACTTTTTTCATGTTTCTTTGTATGTCTTTGAAATTTCAATTCAAGTATTTTGCCCATTTTTGAATTAGGTCACTTGTTTTTATAATTATGAGTTCATTATACATTCTGGATACAGGTTCTTTATCAGATAAATGGTTTGCAAATATCTTCTCCCCATTTGTGACTTGTCATTACATTTTCTTAGTGGTGGTCTTAATGTAGGTTTAAAATTTGGATAAAATTCAGTTTATCAGGGCCTCCCTGGTGGCGCAGCAGTTGAGCGCTGGGTTGCGAAGCTGCCCACAGCCTCTGCAGCGCCATTTCGATCCCCGGCTGCGGGGCGAGGGTCCCACATGGCGCGCAGACCTCTCCTGCTACCTGCTGCTCCCCTCAGCAGTGTACTTCTTCAGTCTGCCTGCTCTGCTCTCCCCTCTGGCTCTGGTGAATTCTCTTACCCTCCTGCGCTTCTGACTATACCCAGTGCTTGTATAAATAAATAAATCTTAAAAAAAGAAAAAAGACTATGACGTCTTCATCATTTAAAAAAAAAATTCAGTTTATCAGTTTTCACTTTTACAAATAATTTGTGGTTTTGGGGACATTTAAGAAATCTATGCATAACCCAAGTATGGTGGCAGAATGGCCACAGGGCAGGATCTCTATGATCCAAGCAGAAAGAGTAAAGGAGGAAAGGGTCCTGAAGCCCTCAGTGGCTTTTGCAGGCTTTTATTGGGATTTACCTGGTACATGGCAGGCAGAGATGCCAGGGGGCCGGGAGGCTGGCAGGCCTTCTCTCGCGTTCTCACTGCTTCTCTGCTCTCCTGGCATCCCTTTGACGCCACCCATATAAGCCCAGACTTAGCCCAGGTGTACCCACTTATGCATGCCCACACCCTACTCCAGGTGTCTGTCATCAGACATGCATTCAGGACCACAAGGATCCATCATCTATCCTAATGGCGGGAGGGCAGAAAAGCTTGAAAATCACTTACCCTACACCAAGTTCATGAAAATTTTCTCCTGTTTTATTCTAAAATTTCAGGTTTTTTAACTCTTGCATTTAGGTGTATGACTCATTTTGAGTTATTATTTGGTTAAGTTGTGAGGAATGGGTTTAAGTGTACTTTCCTGCATATGGATATTCATGTCCAGTGCCATTTGTTGAAAAGATTATCCTTCCCTCATTGAACTGTTTTAACACCTCTGCCCTTACATGAGTACCACACTATTATGATACTGTAGCTTTGTAGTATAGTCTAGTGTAAGTCCTCTAACTTTTTCTTTAGAAGTATTATTTTGTCTGTTCTGGGTCTTTTGCATTCCATATAAATGTTAGGATCAGAAGTGATGTCAACAAAATGTCAGAATATATAGCCATTTTGGCAGAACACCCATCCCTCCAACAGAAACATTAAAAAAAAAAAGTAGAAGCTGCCAGAATCAACTTTTTGACAATTCTGGAAAATAAATTTACAGCAAAAAACACTGAAACAGGAAATAGGTAAATTAAAATCAGTGGGAAAATTTTATAGTGTTTTAATTTGCCCTTGCTCCATTCCCTCCCCAGCTCAATGGCAGTCTTGAAGTATATATGCCCACAAACAGGGATGCTATTAAGTCTGAAATATGCTATACAGATTATGTTCCCAATGTGGGACCCTGGTGTTTGGGTAGTGGAAAGAGAGCAGAGCAGACCTTATCTGCAAATTATTATGTGTTTCTCTCTCAACCTTTGTGGGACTACCAGAAGGACTAACAAGAAACTCTTTCCTTTTTTACCTAACTTGAAAATCAACTAGAAAGTAAATGAGCATTGCTTGAAAATATTATAAGGCAAATGAAGACCTACAGCTACCTGGGACAAAGGATTACAGCTGGCACACAAAATACTTCCAGGAAGGAAGTACAAGGGAGAGCTTCTTTAGGTCATTCAAAAGTGCTATGTATACTGGGAAATATAGAAAGTCATAGCATGCCCAGGAAAGAAGAAATGCTCAGAAAAGATCTGTGACAATCTATGAGTAATCTCTACATTCAGTACAAGCAGGAGGTGAACACTAAGGCAGAGTGTAAATGGCCTAAGTGTTAAAGGAATGCTCCAACAGTTAATCTGCACAGGGAGCTTAGGGGTGAAGGAGGAACACAGTGGTGGTTTAGCTCCTGGATTCCAGGAAATCTATAAGAACAGTAGTGGAACACAGGCTCAAGGAACAGAGACTTCAGTGACCAACATGGCAGGCAATGGCCTAGGCTGACCAACTTAATCTGAAAAGGATTTGCAAATTTATAAATACTATAAAATTATAGATACCTGGACACAAACTTAAATTAGAAGTTGTTCTGATATATAAGAATGCCAAATATTTTGTTCAGATGCCATGGTTATTTTAATTTTTAAGTTTTTCTTTTAAGGCCACCTTTCTTCACAACAGTAGAACTCTGGTAGTGAATTAAGTGGTCGAGGATTTGATGAAACTGTGGCTAATTTCTGGCTCCAATCTGTAATTTAAAAGAAATTAATGATTTAAGACTACTCCTTATAACACATTGTCATTTCAACAATTACATAAAATATAAAATAGTTTATGGGATTTAAGACAAAGGAATAAATTAAAACATTGAAATGTGCCAAACTGTAAATAAAATAAAATCAAATTTGCATTTTGACATCCTAATTCTAGACCCCTAAGCCCATTAAGTCATCATTATAAATGGGTGACTTTCAGATTGTTGTTACCATCCCAAAATTCAGATCCACTTCAGTTTCCTCCAACATCCTGTGACTTCTTGCCTACAGTCACCAACACTTCTGCTTATTTAAAGAGAGGGTTCAGGGAAGACTTGGGTTTTATATAGCAATCATTGCATCTATACTTCATGAAAGGAAGACTAGAGTGTTACCATGATAGCATGGTAACCAAACTTAATGTGTCCAGTGCCAGGCACTATATTAGGTACATTACTAATATTCACAGTAACCCTCAGATGTCCACTGATATTATCACCTTCTCAAAGAGATTAACTAATTTGTAAATATACGGAATTTGTAAAAGGTGCAGCTCACGTTTGGCCCAGGATTATCAGACCTCAAAGTCACTATTCTTTTCACTGTTCTGTTTATGCCTTCCACAGCACTTCAATGGCATTGAAAGAAATGCCATTGTTACTAAGAATTCATAACATTAACCCAGGATAATATGAATAATTCATATTCATTAAAACAGGAGGTATGACTAGAAGAGCTATCTCTTCTTTAGAGGATTTAAAAAATCTAAGCATGATCTTGTCTGTAATCAGTTACCATTTGACAGCTTTGACCTTCTTGAAGATTACATTGTATTCCAGGGAAGTATATGAAGTAGTTTAAAAGCATCAATATAAGGAACCCTACTCAACAGCTCTTAGTGTTCCCTGTTTTAAGACTTACAGTGGAACTGAATTAAGCACATTTTTACCCAGGTGAATGTAATAATGTTCAGAGAAAATACAAAAAACTTCTGGGGTGGTGATTCCTTCCACTTAATGGTTATATATGCCAATAAAAAGGGACTCTTATCAAGCCTGAAATATGCTATACAGATTGGGAGCAGGGATAGGGAAAGGGAAATATGCCATGCAAATTGGGGGCCATTTGACAAAGTGAAATTATTGTTCATGTGGATTTGTGATGATGACTTCTTTGAAAGTCATCATTGGGGAAAAAAAGGAACAACTGTGAAACAAAAAATTTAATCAGTTTGCTGAAGAAATTCCATGTATTCCAAATACTTGAATGATTTAATAGCATTTAATATCATCGCTTCTTTGAACAGTTAAGAGGTCTTCAAGGATAACTTTCATTATACATGATTATTACCGTAATTTTAGAACTTTATTCTTGTGTAAGATGGAATTATATTGTATAGTTTTTTTTTTTACAAATATTTATTTTAGTACGTGCTCTTGATTGATGATGGTGGTGATAATAGCTAACATTTTTGAAGACTTATTCATGTTATGTACAGACACGATGCCAAATTCTTTATATAGATATCTCAATTCTATTATGTAGATACTATTTTTATTCTTTTTGTTGAGAAACCTGAGGATCAGAGAGTAAATAGTTACATTGCTATTAAAAGTATATATTTTATTTTGAAAGAGTGAGTTCTTTGAATTATTTGACACCAGGTTGAGTAACACAAGAGCAAATTTCATCTGAGGGCTTACTCATTCTCCCAGTTTAGAAATTCTCTGAGGACAGAGTGAATCTTCTCCATATCATCTACTATGTCTTGCATATAGTCAATGCTTATTAAATGTTTCCTAAATAAATAAATGAACACTCATTTACTGCTAAGAAAGAATTTTAATGAGGATTTTTTTTTAACTGAGGAATTTCTTAATAACCATGCTCTATCAAGGCCTATATTTAATATATTCATCAACAATTCCCCAATAAGAAATAAGAATTGAACATGAAATTCAAATTATTGCTAATCTAAACATTGCTGTGCTCTTAAATTCTGATCATGAAGAATGATAAACTACCTTACACATTGATAAACAACTTAATATTGCTTAATCTTATTTTGCGAATAACCTTTCCCCAAAGACTTCAAAGAGCCAGTTTCTTGATTTGAACAAATACTTTTTCTCTATCAATGCTTAGATTTGTAACATATTTCTGTTATATTACTTGCAAGCCAACCTTCAGTGTGATTATTTATAGAATAATTGCCACCTGAGTATCTCTCAAATCATCTGATTTTTAACGATTACTCTGACTACACATCTACTTCTTTTACTGCTACCACCTCTCATCATTTGTCGAAACCAAAGATTTCCCAACTGGGTTATACAATTGAGTTATTTGGGAGTTTAAAAATCACTGAGGATCCAAATCCCTCCCCCCAAACCATGAAATTCTGATTTAGTTGGCATTAGGTATAGCATGGGCATCTAGATTTTTTAAAGTTCTTCAAGTGATGTAGCCAAGCTTAAGAAAGAATCTAGTTTAATCACTGCAATGGACTTCTGACTTTGCATATTCATTCTTTGTCCCACCTTGCTCTCCAGTCCCTCCTTTTCTTCTGCATAGAGTAACAGCAGTTTCAATATGCAATTTTAATCAGGTCACTTGCATGCTCCTTAAAACTTTTCAATGGTTTCCCATAAATATCAGTCTAGAGATAAAAACACCTGAAAATGGTCTTTAAAACTCTCCTTGTTCTTGTAATGCTATACCTCCAGTCACATCCGATTCCATGATCCTTGTTGATTTCTGTGCTCTAACACACTTGTTTAGTTCCTCAAACACATACACTTCTACCACAGGCCTTTGTACATGCTGCACTCTCTGTGAAGCTCTTCATACTCTTTTTTTTTTTTTAGTATTTCCAAGGCGCCACCCACCATGTGGCCACCTTTTTTTTTTTTTTTTAGGATTTATTTATCCAAGAACTGGGGTACAGGCCAGATGCGTGGGAGGGTGAGAGGATTCACCAGAGACAGAGTGGGGAACAGAACAGGCAGACTGACGAAATACACTGCTGAGGGGAGCAGCGGGCGAGACAGGAGAGGTCTGCTTAGCCATGTGGGATTCTCGCTGGCCGTCCGGGACCGAACCTGCGCTGCAGAGGCTGTGGGCAACTTCACAGTGCGGCTCTCAACCGCCTGTGCCACCAGAGAGGCCCTCTTCATATTCTTTGTCTAAACTTTCAACTCCTCTTCTGACCTGTCATATGCTTCTATAGTACTACATAAACTTCGTTTCATAGCATTTATGGCAGATAAAAATTTTATGGTTTTTTCTATGTTATTTCCCCTCTACTTCCCCTTCATAAGTATAGAAATCTTCTGTCTTGTTTTGCTTCACATGCTGTTTCCAAACACCAGCAAACTGACTGACATATAAGTGGACTCTCACTAGTGATGCATTAAGTATGAATGAATGAAAATGGACCCAGCATCAAATATCTCCTAATCCAGTTGATGTCTCCTGCAAAATATAGAATTCCATTTATTTCTTTTCATCTTCCAGTCCTAGCCACCATCATCTCCAGTCTAAATTGCTAAGTAGCCTCCTTACTGGTCTGCACACCTTCTCTCTTGTTCCCCTCTGAAGTGTCTTAACATCAGCCAGGGGGGATCTTTCTAAAGTACAACTTATGTCACACCTCTGTTCAAAATCTTTCTCCAAGTCTTCCTTTTGCACCTAGAATAAAATCCAATCATCTCACCACCCTCGCCCTCACTAACTACCCACCAAACTAACTTCCCACTATACTAACTTCCTTTCTGTTCCTCAAATATGCCAAGCTCTTTTCAGCTTTCAAGCTTTTGCACTTATTGTTCCTTTTGCCTGAAATGCTCTTTACATGACTCATTCTTCTTTTCTAAGGTTCAGCTAAAATTATATCCAGATTTTCTCTGACTACACTATTAAAAGTAGCCTCCCTTAGCTAAATCAAAATCCTGCTTATTTCTCTTATAGCACTATGACAATCTATAATTTAAAAAAATTCTGTGTTATGCTCTGTATCTCTCCATCAGAATGTTAGCTACTTGCAAGCAGGTATCATGTCTCCCCTGATCACTGTACTCTCTGCAGACAGCACAGCTCATAGGGGGTGTACAGTCAATGACTAAATTGTCCCATGGTTGCCAACTTTCAAGATGGACCCAATGATTTGTGCCTTGTGGTGTCCACACTGCCTCAGGGCTGGCTGTGTGTGATTAATAGGATAAATCAGAAGCGATAGTATGTGATTTTGAGCTGGGCCATAAAAAGCATTGAAAATCCCAACTTCATCTAGGACTGTTCAATCTGGGGGATTCTGTTATGTCATCAGGACATGCAGTAACCCCATTGAGAGGCCCACCTGGAAAGGCATTGAGGCCCCAGTTTCCAGCCATCATGTGGGTGACAACTATAACAGCTATCATGACTGACAGCTGTGAGAACTTTAGAGGTGGCTCCTCCAGCCCCAGTCAAACCTTCAAGTGATTCAGCACTGACGACTGATGGACATCTAGCTGAAACCCCAAGAGATGGCCTGAGCCAGAACTAAGCAGGTCTCAAATTCCTAACCCACAGAACCATGAGATAAAAATCACCATCACTGATGTTCTAGGCCACTAGATTTTGAAATAATTTGTTACTACACTGTAGATAACTAATATCACTCAACCAATGATTCAATGAGTGGAGCAATGATCATTTCAACATAAATTGTCTCTTGACTTAGACTTCAAACTTCACTAAGTAAGGGACTATCTGGCCCTGTTGCTGTCTTTATTTGCCTAGCCCACATATTCCAGTACTGTATTTTATCTACAGATCCCCACTTGACATCTCTTCTCCTGTAAGAGATGTGGGAGACTACTTACAGGAGAAGTGGGAGACTACTGAGTTTGTTTTAATTTCTTTCTTTTGTGTTCTCTATTAACACTGTCCTTTCTAACTGAACATTATGCTCCATGAATTTTCTTCCCATTTCCTGTAAAACTTCCCTAGTAGCTTAAGAACAAGGGCTAGGGAGTGTGGCATATCTGGATTTCACCTGCACTGCAGACTTGCTAATTGCTTGCTTGTGTAGGTTTCTCAGAATTTCTAAGTCTTTTTTCTCTTCTGCTTAAATGAATGGAGATTTTAAGAATACCTACTTTGTGGGGGCTCTTACAACTCAACGCAACTGTGTGTGCACGGGTGTATAAGTATGTCACTTAGCACAGTTTGGGGCATAGATAGATAGTTTAAATTCTAACAACTATCCTAAAATGTAGATTTTGAATCTCCGTTTTACAGAAAAGCAAATAGGCTCTAAGAATCCAAGTATCTTGCCCAATACCTCTTAGTAGAACGTGGCAGGCTTGCAGTAAGCTAAGGCCTGAATCCTGTCCATGGCTTCACACTGCCCTATCCACAGCTCCCTAGCACTCTTCTTCCTGCAATCTGCACCTTCTCCAACCCATAATTCAAAATTAAAATTAAACAGGACTGACAGGACCTCCCCTGGTGGCGCAGGTGCTTGAGTGCTGCGCTGGGAAGCTGTCTGCAGCCTCTGTAGCACCGTTTTGATCCGGCCGGCCGGCGAGGGTCCCTCATGGCGAAGCAGACCTCTCCTGTCATGCCCGCTGCTCCCCTCAGCAGTATATTTTGTAAGTCTGCCTGTTCTGCTCCCTGCTCCGTCTCTGGTGAATCCTCTCACCCTCCCGTGCATCTGGCCTGTACCCCGGTTCTTGTATAAATAAATAAATCTTAAAAAAAAACCAGGAGTGACAGACATTAATATTCACGTTAATATTCAACTCCTCAGTTTCAGTATTTGCTCCTCCTCTGCCAATCTGCATTTTATTTCCCTGCTTTCCCCTTCTCCCTTTCTCAGTAAGGCCAACATCCTCATTGCTGGAGTCTGCCCTACTCTCTTAGCCCTCACCAACCTCACCATCCTTGTTCTGCCACTTGTTGCAGGACCCCCATCAGTGTCTTCCCTGGATGTTCTAGATACTGGTGACCTCATCTTTCAACGTTTGCTCCCCTACCTGGTGCCTCATTATCCTCTAATAGCAACTGTTGCCTCATCTTCCCAGTGAGACCTTGAGCTTCCATAGCTGAGGTCTAGCCTGGGCTTCTTTCTCTTCCTTCCAATGACCCAGCACAAAGCTGAGGACACAGTAGATGGCAAATGCTTAATGGCTTTGTTGAGCAACCACCTGGTGCTATAGGCTTGGAAAAAAATAGTAATTGTCTTTCAAAATAAACAAGGAGAAAATCTTTTGTGTCTGTTTAGCAAGATTTCCTCATGGCAGGGGACTTGTAAAGAAGGTGCTATTCACTATCACTTTGGAAGCCAGGCCCAGCTCAATTCCCTCAAGCATGTGAAACAGACTTCAGACTGTCTTAAAGGGACAAATACCTCAGCCTTTTCTGTGGGGTAGGAGTCCCATTGATACTTCCCAACCACCTTTTCTTTCCAGTCACTCCTCAGTCCCTGGCAGCTTCTACTGCCAGATTTCATACTTCTTCAGTCCTAATCTATGCCCTTGTTTCCTTTACTGTGTCCCTCCCCAAACCCCCTCTGGGATCCCACACCTCCCACCTGCACGCTCTGCCAGCACCTCTTTCCTTAATTGACCTTAAATTCAGCTCCCAGCTTCTTCCCCTATGCCGGTTCCCTCTCTTCTCAGATTCTGAGCTACTCTAACCTTCTCTTATTTTCCAGAACCCAGGATTGCCCTGCTTTTTAACCTCTCACCTAAATTCCTCCTGTCATCCCAACCCCCATCCCAACTTCATCTGTGACCACCCCCAAACCTGGCTCAGCTCTCCCCAGATCTATGTCTCCTGTGCAGTGACTATTTTTCCTGATTGCTGTTGCTGTCTCCTCTCTTGGGACCGGAGTCCAAGGTACAGGTCTTTCTTTGGGGGAGTAAAGAAGGAATCGCAGATGCTACCTTTTAATTAAAAATAAGGCTATTAAATAAATAGTACAAGTGACAGTATAACTTAAGGATCAAACACAAATCTTGGTAATGGCCTGAATCTGAATTCTACTCTTACCTATCACAGTGTGATTTGATGTAAGTTGACTGTCTCTTTTACTGTAAGATGGGAAAAATAATAGCACTTACCTCAGAGGATTTTTTTTTTTTTTTAAGATTTATTTATTTTACACAAGAACTGGGGTACGGTCAGATGTGTGGGAGGGTGAGGGGATTCACCAGAGACAGAGCGGGAAACAAAACAGACGCGCTGGCCGAAATACACTGCTGAGGGGAGCAGGGGGCGAGACAGGAGAGGTCTGCTTGCCATGTAGGTTGCTCCCTGGCAGGCCAGGGATCAAACTCATGCTGCAGAGGCTGCAGATAGCTTCACAGTGCTGCGCTCAACCCACTGTGCCACCAGGGAGGCCCCCACCTCAGAGATTTTAAGAGGGCAAAATCACACTGTGAGAGTCCCAGAAATGTTAGGGTTACTCATTTTGAAAGCCTATTGATAAAGCAATTCCTTCTACTCACTATGATTCAATGCACCAACGACTACAGGAATGCAGGTGATGGTCAAGTTGGCATCCCTGTGCGTACCCTGCAACACATTGGTCAGGAGCCTCGGCCCCCTCAGTACTTTTGTTAGGGGGAAAAGGATGTCCTAAAGCTAATTCCATACAGGCTTTGTGGACTCCACCCCCACCCCAGGCCAAAGCCAAAGACACTGGGAACTCCAAATCCCATCACCACCAAAGGGAAGGTGGCTGGGACCTGAGGGTGGGGTTAAGCAGCCAGGTCGGTATAAAGCCAGACACGTGGGCTTTGGAGGGTTCCCCATTTTGGCTCTCTGCCAGCTCGCAGCGTCCGGCCAGCTCGGAGAGTGCTTTTGGGTTTCCAGTTTGGTGGATCAGGTAGGACGCATTAAAGACTTTATTTCCCTATTTTCTCCCTGAGTTGTACATTTTCCTTATTTCCTTTTCCCTTGTAAATAAACCTTTTATTAACCTTTTGTGTGTGCCTGTAGTGGAGTATTCATAAGTCCCTTGTAAGCACGCTGGTGAGGACCCACAGCCAGGCAACCCGTTCAATATCCGGGCTGCCCTATAACACTTTCTGTCCATGCTGCAGTATAGAGTTATACTTAGGAAATTTATCATTTTCCCAACATGTCTACAAATATCAAATTATTGTCATAAAAATAAAATAAAATAGGGGAATGAGAAAAAATTTCCCTCAACAATCAGTTTAAACACAATGAATTTGTGAAGTGACAAGAGGCTCAGAGGCAAGGTCAGATTTGATTCTGCTTCCAAGACATTTATGTAGTTTCATCCTTAATGTCTCCTACACAGGGAGCTTGGGAAGGAAGAAAGGAAGAAGCAGCACTCAGGGTTGTGCTCTAAATCTTCCTGCACCCTGAAACCCACACACCACAGTAAGAGGGCGCGTGTGCCCATTCAGCCCTACGAATGATACAAGATACTGTCCCTCAGACACAGTCTATGCGAGAGGCTCATGTATGGCCTGGGCGAGGCTGATGCCAGAGATTGAGGGTAGAGTACCCTGACTCACCATTCTTGTAAAATGGCAGAGAATAGTGTCTCTGATAAGAGGTTTCTTTGTACCACGATTCTGAAGGCTTTGAATATCTTCGGAAAAAAATATATTGAATGAGAGTTCGTTGGTCTAGTTGAGGCTGATACTGGATTTTTCTCTTGGATGGAACTGTCAAGTCTATGAGAGGTCTAAATGAAAACACAAACAACTTGCTGAATACTAGCAGAAACATTCCATTTTCTCGTCAGCTGGAATCTACTCCCTAGAAGCAGCCATGAGGCTTCCAGAATAATTTTGACAAGACTCCATAACTTTACAGCCAGCCTTTTGAAAAGTTGTCTGTAGATGGCCTAGGGATTCCATTCCCCTGCTCTTCCTTTAACATCCTTCTTCCTCCCCAATTGCAATTACTTACAATTTTGACCTGCATCAAAATTTCTAATAAATCTGCTCATGCATAGATACTTCCCACACTCTAGATTTTCCCAATACCCTTTCCCATTGCAATTTTTCCTACATTGTTTGGTTCCCTCAAGAAACCAATATTTTCTCTTGACCAAACCAATCACTATGGTATGTATCAGTGTTTGATAAAAATGAAATCAGTTATAACTTTCCTTACCCCTATTTAGATGAGTATGGATAAGATAAAGAATATTAAATTGAAGTGATGAAATATCTTCATATGCTTGTGAAAATATACATTCACTTGAGTAATTTATTTAAGAACTCTGGTGATAGGGACTAATACATTTTAAATGTTTGTCTCAGCAACCTCAGGAACTAGGAATATCAACAAAAACAGCCTAAGAATTTTTCTGGGTGTAGCATACAAGGCTCCTTTCAAGTTAGACCGTAGCAGGAAGCTTGATTACCCTGGAGCAATTGGTACACATCACTAGGAATGACAGGGAATGCCTGGGGGGCTGGTCACTGATGTGCTTTTTGCCCCAGGGACTGACCATTGAAGCACCTTGTTAATAAGATTGGAGCCATGGCTGGGGCTCAGAGTACATCAGTGGACTCACTCTCCCTGAAGCCCAAAATCCAGTATTCAGTTTGACCCACCCTTTTCTCTGTCAATAAAAAGGCCAAGATCTTGCTCTTGGGCAGCATCCTGCATCCTACAGCCTGCCCCATGACTCCTGTTTCTTTTTTTTTTTTTTTAATCAGTGCAGTGTTGCTGATGCAAAAAATTTTCATAAAAATATTTTTATGATAGTAGAATCACAAGCTTTATGTGGAAAAAAATTATTTAGACAATATGGAATGCAGAAATGGTAAACTGTGGAATTATAAATTTTAGATGGAAAAGTACACCATATATTATGAAATTTAAATGAACAGTTCAAATGAATTGTGCTTTAAATTGATGAATTGTGTGGTATGTTAACTTTAAATTGATGAATTGTGTGGTATGTTAATTGTCTCAATAAAGCTGTTATACAGAAAAAGCCTTCAATAAAAAAAATTAACCAAAAAAATTATCTATACATTGCAAGTATCATACACCATGATCAAATAGGATTTATTCTGGATGCAAGAACAATTCAACATTTACAAATCAATCAATGTGACACACCCTATTAACAAAATGAAGAATAAAAACCATGCTTATCTCAATAGATGCAGAAAATGCATTTGACAAAATTCAATATCCATTCGTCATAAAAATTCTCAACAAAGTGAATGTAGAGGGAATGCATCTCAACATAGTAAAGGCCATCTATGACAAGGCTGCAACTTCTATCAACTCAAGGGTAAAAATTGAAAGCTTTTCCTATAATTACAGGAACAAGACATGGATGGCCACTCTTACCATTCCTATTCAACATAGTACTGGAATCTCTAGCCAGCAGTCAGGTAGTCAGAGGTAATAGCAACTAACAATTCAGAAGTGACTAACTCTGCTTAATCATAATCCATTATACTTACATATTTGGGTAAAAAAAAATTGATTGTAATTTGCCTTTTTGTTTGTTTTGAAAGGTATGTTAGCAAAAGTATAGTGACCATGCCTGAAGTTTAGAAAGAGCAAGAATAAGAATCTGGCCATGTATGTGCAATACTGTATGGGGGGAGATATTAGATGGGTGGAAGGGTGTTTTCTTGTTGATAGACATAGAGAAAGACCAAGAATTCCCACCAATTTGATCCTTTATTTCCTCTTACTTCATGCTTGATGGGTAGTTGGTCCTATAAAATGAATGCCTTCAATGTTAAGTGGGAGGATTACTGTCCTTGTGAAAGTATGTCCCCCATAGTCAATCAAAATATTAACTATCTGCTGGAGATGTGAGTCTCTTGTGAGTTTAGGTTCCGTGTGACCAACACTGTCAGTCTGGTCACTTGGGAATGCTGACAGCTCTGGCTCCTGAACTACGTCCTCTCCCTAGATAAACCCATCTTTGACTAACAGCCTGCTCTGCCTTTGGCTTGGGTATTTCTATGGAGCAAGATTATTGTCCCTTTTCACATGTCACTTTGGTGTCCTTCTGAAGACAAGATTTTCACTCTGACACAGAAAACATTAAGTTGGTCATTAAGTTGGTGAGGGGAAGACAATTTCTGGGAAGGTATTTTATTAGACAACTATCAAGTTATATCATGACTACAATACATAGTTAGGGCAGGTCCAAAGAACTGAATGATTTTCTAGGTGGTGGTGGTTACTGTTGTTTGTGATTTGTCTTTTTCCCTTTCCTTATTCTTAACAAGGCACCTAATATTCATTGCTTGACATTTGCACCATGTTTTATCCTTAAGGCTAATCTTTGGCAGGCACAAGGAGAGTCCAACTTCCTTTTGTCTGAGCCATCTGCTGGTGCTCCTCCTGACCTCTGGGTGCAAGGCATTCGATTTGGGGAACTTATCAGGGTCCACACAACTCACTGAATATGCCCTGGGGAGATGCCACAAGCAGCTCTGCAGTGAGTTTCTGTCATTTCCTTTCTTGTTTGTCCTCTGGCTGTGGGCATAGCCCTATCAGAGTTTAACCAAAGCATGTAATTGGATTAACCCAAAAGATCTTGACCTTAGAATCAGAAAATGTGGATAGATTCCAGTCTCAGGTTTACCAACCAACTGTATCTCAGGCAAGACTTGTCATTTCTCTGGGCTACCATTTAGTCATCTAACTGGATCACAATGACTTCTAAAGTTCCTTCCAGTTTGATCATGTATTAAGTTTAGACTATGTGCTATTTTATAGATGCCTTGGCTCCCTTTTCTTTTCATGGAGGATACTCAGACTTTATTAAAGGCTATTAAGAGAAGAGGAGGATTTTATAAAATTCATAAAATATTACTCAAAATAAGAGCAATCAATATGTGGAGTTCTTGGAACTTAACATTGATAATTTTATTTAACAGATAAGGCAGCTGATGCTGAGAAGGAATGGAAATTGTCCAATTCAAACATTTTATAAACCACTCAAGTTGTTGTTTTTAAATACTGTGGATTCCAGTCTCCACAAACTAGAAAATACTGTCAAAGTACGTGCTTTTTCCTTTTGTTAAAACCGTATGCAGAAAGGCAGAAATTAATTTAGATCAAATTCATAATATTACTGAGAAGGGAACTGAGTCTCAGGAAGGTTGAGCTATTTGAACAAGTTGAAACTCTAAATTCATGTTTCCTAAATTTCTTTGATGATTTCATAAAATTCTATATTCATTTCTAAGCAATCTGCTCAATGGAGACTATGTGAAAAATAGAGAAAAAGACTAAAAAATATGCACACTACCAATAATTTTACTACTTATAAAAAAGCAATTGTTAGTAGTTTGGTGTTGTCCTTCCAAATGTTATCTATCAATTTATTACTGTTGTTGTTGTTGTTATTAAAAACTGTATTTTTTATATACCATTGATATTTAGTGTAATTTTTGAAAATTGATATTTAGGAAGGTGTCTTACCTGGGAGATCTCTTCGCACTGTAATCAAAATGAACTCGTGCCAGCTGTTTAGGGAGATAGCCTTTGACATCTCTTCCTTGATGAGCAATGAATATACTAGTAGAAAAAAATAAAGCAGTAAGAAAAAAAAGCAATGATTATAATTAGTTTTTTATAGACAAATACAAGCTGTGAATAATGAAAATATATTTGGCTTTTGTCCCTAGTTCTTGACACAGAGCTTCTACAAGTCTTGGAATTTCTTATGGAAATGTCTTTTCTTGCCCATTTTTCAGGATTTATAAGGAAATGTTTCATATGTCAGGTATGAGGTTTAAAATATCAGGAAAAAAATTAAGAGGATTTATAAAACCCAAATGTTGATAGCTCCTGAAATGTGGGAACGAGGAAATGGAAGTTCCTTATACTATTTGTTTCTACTTATGATATGTCTGCAAATTTTCACAGTAAGTATTTTTGTGTGTGTCTGATAATTAAAATATGGGGACTGAAAATAAAAAAGCCCTGTGATGGTTTAGCAGAATGTAAGCATGAAGGAGGGACTCTTACCCTGGCTGAGAGGCCTGGGTTGTGAGGCTTTGTGATTTATTTATTTATTTAATTTCCTTTTTTCCCCCCACAATAAAAAAGGGGTACTGCATCTGAACCACTGGTGCGGGTCATTAGAAAATCTTTATAGGATTTTAGACAAGACTAGTGATATAATGCAGTCTTTATTTGAGAAAGATTTTTCACCTGGTGGCAATGTGGTAAACAAATTTAAAGATAATTTGACCATAGTAGAAAGACTGTTTATTTTTTAAATTTTTGTTTAGAAGAACTGGGGTATAGGCCAGATGTGATGGGGGTGAGAGGATTCACCAGAGACAGAGTGGGGAACAGAACAGGAGGATCTATTAAAATACACTGCTAAGGGTAGCAGTGGGTGAGACAGGAGAGGTCTGCTGTGCCATGTGGGTGAGCAACTTGGCTGGGGATTGAACTCAGGCCGTTGTGGTGATAATGTTATAGAGCAACCCCGATATTAAATGGGTTCCTGGCTGTGGGTCCTCACCCGCGCGCTTTAAAGGGACTTATGAATACTCTACTACAGACACACACAAAAAGGTAAATAAAAGGTGTATTTACAAGAGGAAAGGAAATAAGGAAAATGTACAACTCAGGGAGAAAATAGGGAAATAAAGTCTTTAATGCGTCCTACCCGATCCGACGACCTGGAAACCCAAAGTCACTCTCAGAGCTGGCCGGACGCTGCGAGCTGGTGGAGAGCCCAAAAATGGGTCCCCCAAAGCCCACGTGTCTGCCTTTTCTATTCACCTGGCTGCTTAACCCCACCCTCAGGTCCCAGCCACCTTCTCTTTGGTGGTGATGGGATTTGGAGTTCCCAGTGTCTTTGGCTTTGACCTGGGGTGGGGGTGGAGTCCACAAAGCCTATATGGAATTAGCTTTGGGACATCCTTTTCCCCCTAACAATAATGCCAAGACTTAACACCTAGGCTACCAAGGGGGCCCAGAAAGACTATTTAGATGGCTATTGTGTTCATTTACAAGGGACATGATGAAGCTCTGAACCACATGGTAGAAAAGTGAAGAATGTTTTAGGAGAGAGGATTGAGAGTAAAAAGAGAACAAGGTGTTCAAGAAAAGGCCAAGGCTTCAGGCATTGGGAAGAGCTCTGCTGTTCCTCAGGAGAGGGGGCACATTTGTTGGCAAGAGGACTTTATAGATATGAATCATTCACAGATTGGGATCATTCACAGATTCTGAGCATGAGGTAGGTGCTTTAATAATTCAAGGGGAAGAGTCAGTAGACAGTAGCATGTAGTTTTTCAAACTATTGGCAAGCTATTGGATGATGAGTAGAAACTTAAACTATGCCTCCAGCCCAACCAGCAAGTATTGAATGCACATAACATAACTTGCATGTTGCTAGGTTCTACATGTCTAAGAAAGAGTCCTTGGCCTTTACATGCTGAAATAGTGATCTGAATAAAGGGTAATGGGGCACAGAAGAGAGAGGAGTGTCTAGGATTTGAGCTGCAAATAGGATGGGGAAGAGATTCTTTTTTCTTTTTTAAAGATTTAAAAAAAGATTTCCTTTTTTTAAGATTTTTTTTTTATTGATACATACAAGAGCTGGGGTACAGGCCAGAGATGCAGGGGGTGAGAGCATTTACCAGATACAGAGTGGGGAACAGAACAGGCAGACTGACTGAAACACACTGCTGAGGGGAACAGCGGGCGAGACAGGAGAGGTCTGCCTCGCCATGTGGATTGCTCCCTGGCCGGCTGGTGATTGAACTCATACTGCAGAGGCTGTGGATTGCTTCATAGTGTGGTGTTTAACCCCTTGCACCACCAGGGAGGCCCATGGGGAAGAGATTCTTGGTAAGAAGGAATTAAAGAAGCCAAGACTTGGACAGAGTTGAGATCAGAGTGGACTGGGGGGATCCAGCAGGGACCTTGCTGTCTAATTTGTATGAAAGACAAGTGCTGTGAGCAGGGTGGGTGGGTCTGTCTATGCAAACAGGACCTCAGGGAACTCTGATTTTCAGAAAAACCACAGGCTGTTTGGGCCTGCCCTGGTTGAGATAAAATGACTGAGCCCCGAGTAGTAAATAACAGGGGATTAAGTCATAAAAAGAAAGAGGATAATAGGGTGTCGTAATAGGGAACGAAGGGCCTTTCTGAATGCGTGGGAGATGTAACCCTCTTAGGCACCCATCCAAGTTTCTGAAGCACTACCTTAGAAAGAGTACGGTGGGTCCATGTTACGGTTTATCAAGAACCGTTTGTAGCTCTGAAACAACACGGGTTGCTATGCTGCTTGCAGGAGACTGTGTGGTGACCATGGATGCTTTATTAAGTTCCTACAACAAATACTTGCTGAATACAGTTCTGAGAATGGAGATACCCTTCACCAGCACCAGGGAGCGTGCCCTGCCTGCAGGCCCTGGAGAGTCTTTCTTGGCTGGTTTTGACCCAAGCGTGGAGAGAGATGGGGAAAGGACATCAGCATAAGTGCGTTGGGGTGGGAGGTCTCAGTGGAGAAACGGAGAGATTTGGTCCAAGAAGACTGGGACACTTTGCCTCCAAGTTTTTGGGTAAGCTTTCTAAGTTTCCCTTCCTTCCCCATATGCCTCCCGATTAAGGGTTAAAATATCGGACCTGGCCAAGGAGGCTGCCAGACTCTGCTCAGGCCTGGTGCATATTTTCCAGTCCCTGCAGCTTCTCTGAGGGCTCAGTTCATACAAGAGCAAAACTGTCCCCTGGGAAGGTGAGTGTAACTGGAGCTCAGCCGCAGACAAAATTCAATATGCTCAGGGGAGGTCAGGAGTGTTTGTCCCTCAAGAGCCTGAACCCACTGCCTGAGGTAGCCCGAGTTACTCTGGCTATACAAGTCCCTGTTATGTCTGTGTCTCGTGCTTTACAAAGCATCCTTACAGAGGTGATCTCATCTGATTCTCGGTCACCTTGCCAAGTAAATATTATTAACACCACATTATAGGAGAGGAGACTGCGGTTTAGAGAGGTTAAGTAGACTTTCTAAATACCGCCTCACGAGTAAAAGTCAGAGCCATGAATCAAACCCAGTTCTCTAAATTCCATGCAGCATCAGAGTCATCTGGGTGCACGTTGCCTTTTTTTCCGTAGAGTTCAATACTACTTTTGAATGAAATCTCTCATTCTCCCACTTTTGGGCAGACAGGGAGTAAATATGTACCAGAGAAATAGGAAAAGGATAGAGACACCCTAACGTTAGGTGGAAATTACTTTGAATTCAAGGGAACAAATAACATCGCATTCTTTCATGTGTCTGCATTGACCTGGGGGCTAGGGCTGAGGAGATGGTAAATACTGTCTTTCTGCCCTGCAGTTTAAAATCTCATAAAGAAAAACATGTGACTAATCATACAACATGGGTGGCTGCTGTACCAGTCAGGCCCGAGGCTCAGCAGGAATAAGAATTTACCAGGGAGAAGAGCAAATAAGAGCAGCAGATGGGAGACCACCCCCCTCTCATCTCAGACCCCTTACTCCACAATATCTCCTTAAGGAGTTTAAGCCTCAGTTTACCCATCAGTACAGTACTATCTCCGCGACTGCTTACATGAGAGGAAATGGGACACTTGTGGACAACTTGTACCATTCAAATATCCCGTCAGCATTAGGTGTTGATTGACCCCCATGGTTGCCTCTTGATATCTCAGAGACTCTTCACTTTAAAATCCATTTAAATCTAACACCACTTCCATATCTTTTAGCTCACTATACTTATCCACCTAAACTGATCTTTTTAGAAGCATGCTGGGCCCCACAACCAACACAACACCTAGCCCTGCCCCTGAGGGACAGGTCTGTAAGTTTGGGAATGGGTCCAGTTAACATCTGCACCTAATATAATTCTTATTATGGGAATTCTGTATGGTCACTACTATTTTTGATCCTTTACTATTTAATTTTATGAGTGGTATGCCCCAAGGGTTAGAAGGGATGACTTGAGTAAATACCTGTGGGAAAGGTTCAGCAGAAAGGAACCCTTCACAGGTATTGTCAATCACCAGGAGGAAAACCACAAGTGAATGACAGAATTTTTCTCATTGCTTCTTTCATTTTCATTTTTACAACAAATGTGCAAAGAGGGCCTAAGTCCTGTGGTACTCTGTTAGGCAGAGATTATGATGGGTTGTAGAGAGACACAGACAAGGTCAACCTCAGGGAGCTCACCTGGAGATATTCTAATGGCAGAATCAAGAACCCAGATGTTGGAATCAGACCAGTGGCTCAAATCCTACCTCTGCCAGTTCCTCATAGCTGTGGGAGCTGGGGACAGTCACTTAGCCACTCTGTGTCTCAGTTTCCTCCTTTATACCTTATAGTTATTATGAAGAGCAAATGAGTTACCATGCACTCAGAGCAGTAAAGGATGTGGAAGTGGTAACTGCCATTCCAGGGGGTGAGACAGACAGGAAATAAACAAAATAATTGGAAGTTATGTAATGGCTATAACAGAAACCAAGAAGACCGAGAATGACGGGGCAGGTGGACAGAAGGAAACCTCCTCTAGCCAGTGTGGTCAAAGAATTGCTCTCTCAGATGCTCACCACAGAGTGAGCCAGGCTGGGGGAGAAGGGGCAGAAAGGGGTGGGGAGCTGATCCAGGGAGAGGGAACATGCCCAAAAGCCCCAAGGTAGGAAAGAGTTAGTCAGGGTCAGTTCAAGTAGGGCCTAGCAACAAGTTTGAACTTTATACACAAAATTCAATTGCCGAGTTTATGCAATGGAGGGCCATGATCCAATTCACATTTTATGAAGCTCGCACTGGAGACCAGGCGGCAGGAGGACAGGAATGGGGCTTGTTGTGGACAAGCAGGGGAGATGCAATGGTTTCTCGACTGGGGGGCAGAGTGGAGAAAAAGTGCAGTGAAGAAAAGCTTAATGATGGGAGATGCATGCTGGAAGTAGAACTGAGGAATCTGCTGATGGATTGGTCCCACTATTATTGCCAAGGCAGGAAAAGCACAAGGTAGACAAGTGTGTGTGGAGGGCAGTGCCACCAAATCTAGTTTAGGGGCAGCATGCCTGGCCTCGTGGGGCTGTCAGGAAACTGCAGAGAACTGAACCTGCCCACCTTGGACTTCTGCAGTCCCAGCGCTTGCTGCACTGTTCCACCCAAACCCACAGCTGACTCAGACCAGGCCAGAGGCTCTGACTTGGTTCCATTGAGCTCCAGGCAGCAGCAGACAAGACAAGTTTGTTTTCAGTTTCCCAGGAGATGGGACCACAGTTAAATAGGGCTGACAGTGGAAAAAACACAGCTCACACACACAAAGACAAACGCAGGGCTTGTCGGGAGGCAGAAATCAAGAAGTACTGGAACCTATCCCTGTCTCTCTCCACCTTGCTTCCTCCTTATGTGGGATTCAGGAAAGGGGAGTTGGCGGGGGCAGGGGGTGAAGGGGAGGCTCTGTAATTTCTCTGAAAAGAAAGCTCTAAAAGTATCTAGGAACAAAACATCCTTTTGTGAATTTCCTTCAGTAATCCCAGGAACAAATATTGTTCAAAATAACTAAATATTTCTTCAAAATAAGTAAATATTTCTGGCCAATTATTGTTCAAAATAACGAAATATTAAAAGAAACATGAGGCTTGTTAAAATACATGAGGCCAACAGGGCTGTGCTTGGCTGACCCCCAAATCACTTCCTGGGCGAGATTTCCTGCCCCAACTTTATAGCTGCTGAACCTTAGCAGCCTCGTACCCAGTGATGATAGGAGGGCAGGGCTAGGGTTTTTAGACTGGTATATGATATCTCTCAGCAGGTAAATTTAGCACAATAAAATGTGTCTAGGGGTTGTTATTCTTGGGCCATAGATAAATTTGAGGAAGAGTGAGACTCCTACTTAGTTTCTGTCTGTATAGCCACCCCCACACTGCAGAAGCATGGGCGTGGTTCGTTTTATCCCAAACTAAGTAAAATGTGTACGTGGGTCTCTGTACAGCTTCTGCTGGCTGAAGCCCTGCCTAAGTGAAAACAAATATCTTTTCTTCCTTTCAGAATTTGGGGTTGCACACTTGCTTGGATTTGGCCACGAGAGATGGATGTTGTTTTTTTTTTTTTTTTACAACTTTCCCTAAACCCAAAGAAACTTCACTGCTGACAGTTGTCTGTCAATCATGGAGCACCAGGGCAAGCAATTCTGATTGCCCAGGGGTCTGTCTGCTCTGCTGCAGCTCTGGCCGGGTCTGTATCTGGATAAATACTACCTTGATGGGATCACTGGGCGGTGGTCAAGAAACTCTCTTAGACGGATAGCAGTCATGATGGATGGAAGTCTGAAAAAAAGATTAGAATGGAGGATCATGCTGTAAATTTATACATATTTCTGGCTATGAGTTACCTGGTACTACAAAGCCTTATCTTGGAAGTAAACTTCTCCCTAGCTTCTGCTAGGCTACTTAGGGAAAGAAATAAACTAATAGAGGAGAAAAAGAAATGGAAAGCATAAATAAAAGGTGTTGTGCCAGATGGGCACTTAGTTGCCTTTATTGCCGTTGTCAGTATGCTTTCCTGCTGCACAAACCTGAAGGCTAAATGCTACATTTCTGGGACCTGTCCTGGCTAGAGTTCTGAATAGGAACTATATTTCTCCAATAAAATGTACTCCAGTGAGATTTGGAAGGTGGAAACTAGACAGAGGACATGTCTTGCTGCTTTGACTCTTTCCACCAGCAAGCGAGGTTGTGATGATATGGTATGGTATTTTTCCACAGCAGAACCCCAGTTTCTAATTTTCAGCTTTGGGAATGTCAGGAAGTAATTGCTTTGTGAGCAGTGACTGAACCTGGTGTTCCAGCATTTAAACATCAGCTTGTGACTTGTGATAGGAGTTGCAGTAGCAGTGCTGGCAGTTTGGCTGAACTCAACTGTTCTGGAAGCAGTCCCCTGATTAGGGCATAGTTAGCTGCTCCATGATAGGTCAGTTTGTGAAAGTGCTTCCTTTCTACAAGCTTCATGTAAGCCTTCTCCAGAACCTGTCCTTCAGCCCTTCCAGTGATCCCAGGGCAGCTCATCATTTCGGTTTCCTAGACTGACCCTATACAATGTGTATGCATTATGTGTATACAAAGACAGCCATGCCTCGAGTTTGCATAAACATGGCAAACAGCAGCAGAAGTCTGGACTGAGACCCATTTGACCTATGACACTGCAATGGGTTGAATGTTTTCATACCCCATCAAATTCATATGCTGAAACCCTAATCCCTATGTGATGGTATTTGTTTTTTTTTTTTTTTTAAAATAGAGGCATTATTTATTTATTTATTTGTTTGGTTTATACATGCACTGGGTACAGTCAGAAGCGCGGGAGGGTGAGAGAATTCACCAGAGCCAGAGCGGGGAGCAGAGCAGGCAGAAGGACCGAAGCACACTGCTGAGGGGAGCAGCGGGCGGCAGGAGAGGTCTGCGCGCCATGTGGGCCCCTCCTCCGGTGGCCGGGGAGCAGCTGGGGATCGAACCGGCACTGCAGAGGCTGCGGGCAGCTTCGCAGCCCAGCGCTCAACCGCTGAGCCACGGGGGAGGCCACCTATGTGATGGTATTTGGAGGCGGTGTTTGGGAAGTGATTAGGTCATGAAAGTGGAGCCCTCATGAAAGGAAGCTGCGCTCTTATGAAAAAGACCTCTGTGAGCTCACTCGCCCTCATTCTGCCATATTCTGGATACAGCAAGAAGCTGGGGGCCGCCACCCTGAAGGTGGCTCTAACCAGAGCCTGACCATGATGATCCCTGATCTAGGACATTCAGCTTCCATAACTGCGAGAAATAAATTTCTATTGTTTATGATAATTTTTATAGCAGCTGAATGGGCTAGGGTGCCTGTTCTATAGACTCATGGTCACAGTGCTTCTGTGAAGGGTTACGTGAGGCAATCACTTGAGTGTTCTGTCACCTAAAAATCACCTTTGAGAAAAGAGATGTTTCTTTGTATTATGTTTATGCGTTTCTATGCATTGGAATGTATTATGTGTCAAATAGCATGTATTAATTTATATCAGCTTCCCAGAAACCCTATCAAATATGATCACCTTTTTACTGACCAAAAAAACCCACAAAAAACCCAGAGGTATTAAGAAGCAAATGTCACCTAGAAACCAGGATTATAACTACTCTGTTATATTGAAAACAAGCACAGAGTACCCATACCATCAGCCAAAATAAAAAGAAGGGATGGCCCAAAAGAAGCAGGAACCAGGAGGGAGGAGGATTGGGGAGCAGTGTGTGGGGCTTCCCTCCTTTCCCTTTTATAGTCAGGACTTGTTAACTCATTGTCCAGGGGCCAGCTAGCTGCTTTATTTCACCTCTGAGCATGTTTTTCAAGCAACTTGAAACATTTCAAAGATTACGTTTTAACCAAATAGTTTGGCTAGCCTACTGAGCCTGTTCATTATAAAATGTGTTTTTACTTTCAGCACTGGTGTGATTATAGAAAAAAGAAGGAAGAACAAAAGAAAAATCTGAATAAGCACAATTGAGTTTTTGCTTCAACTTGGAAAGCTCTGTGGCTGCTGGGATTTTAATTCACTGGAAGTGTCATCCTGGAGAGAAAAATGTAAGATATTCAGGACATTTGTGCTCCTAACAACAGCACCATGTATATATCAGATGATAAAGCGATTGCTCTGCACCTAGGAATTCTGAATCAGCACCACAGGGAATAAGCCATCCTGGGATGCCAGGCTTTGGCATGAAAATGTTTTCTGAGAAACATTAATAACTGACTTGGAGTCTAAGCCTAAATTCCCAGGATGATCAGATCTTATCTGGAAGTGGTCACAGTGCTGTCAATCTGGTCTTTAGAGGATTCCTCTACCATGTATGTGAAGGACAGCAAATCACATTTCGTATGCTTACTTATTTCTTGAAGACATAGGAAAATGTAGATTGCAGTAAGATATGTCAGTGCATTTTGCTTTAGTCGATCGTAAAACATAGTTCTGTATTGAATCTGAATGTGACAGTAAATTATGGTGTCACATGTCACATGTCACATGTTAGATTTACCTCAATTTCCTTCTTCACTGTACAACTGCTATTCTCGGCACCACAAACAACATAATTTTCATCTCCTTTAAAGTGCGATTTTTTTGTTGTTGTTTTAACAGAAGAGCCTCCCTCAATGTAAACTTCTTCCAGAGCAAACAAATTCTCTCTGTACCCTCATCTGACCTTTTACTCAATGTCATATTAACTCCCTTTAAACTGAAAACATAGGAAATAATGCTTTCAAATAACAGCAAAATCATTGGTAAACACCTATTTTTATGTTTAATTATATATATATATATATATATATATATATATATATATCTGTACATACTTAAATACTTGAAACCACAGCAGGTATTCTATTTATCAATACATTCTCTGGTTTTTATTTACAAGCATATTGTGAAAAACTTTTCACATTGCTACAGAGTATTCTATTTCTAATACTTAATATTCCTTTGTGTTGTTTGGTGAGGTACACCCAACATCTTACTTAAAACAGTATGCCCACTCCACCCCACCCTTGCATTCCCTTCCCAGTCTCTGTTTTATTTTTCTCCAAAACACTTATCACCATCTTTCATACTGTATGTTTACTTATGTATCTGATTTATGTCTTTCTTTCCCCATTAAAACATGACCTCTAGTTGGGCAAGGATGTTCGGCTGTTGTGTACACTGCTGTAGCTCTAGGGCCAATGATAATAACTGGTCCATGACAGAGATGTAATAAATACTTATTGAATAACTAAATAAATCCTAACTTCTGAAACCCAATCTTCTAATGTTGAACATTCTGGTAATGCTGAGCATCTACATGAATATATTCTGATTTTATTGAATTTAATTTTTAAGAATTTTTTGTCAGAATGACTAAGTTTTGGGCATCTTTTTGAGTCTTATTTAGAAGGAATTTAAATAAATTAATACAGACTCATAAACCACTGTTGTTTGATACCCAGAGCACAGAAAATAAAATGTAAAAATAGACTTTTATATTATGTTTATGTTCAGAAAATAAACTAAAGCAAATAATTACAGGTACATTGCCTATATTTCCTCATAATTTATTTAAGATTTATTTTACTTATTTATGCATACAAGAGCTGGGGTATAGGCTAGCGGTGTGGGACAGGGGTTGAGCACATTCACCAGAGACAGAGTGGGGAGCAGAATAGGCAGATTGATTGAAACACACTGCTGAGGGGAGCAGTGGGTGAGACAGGAGAGGTTTGCTGCGCTACTTGGGTCAGCTCCCTGGCTGGGGATTGAACTCGCACCGCAGTGGCTTTCCATAATTTCATAGTGCTGAGACTTAACCCTTTGCACCACCAGGAAGGCCCTATTTCCTCATAATTTATATTCAACATGGTGATTTCAGGAATAAAATATGCCTAAATTTCTCAGCATTTTTGACATTATAGAATATATTATAGATCAAGTCAGATTTCTATAAAATATATACTTAATGGTGGAAGACTGAGTGATTTCTTCCTAAAATTCAGGACAAAGTAAGGATGTTACCTCATTACTCCTGTTCAACATAGTATTGGAACTCTTAACTAGTGCAATAAGACAAGAAAAAGAAATAAAAGGCATACAGATAGGAAAGGGAAAAAATTGTTCATGTTTGCAAATGACATACTTATCTATGTAGAAAATTTTAAGGAATCTACAAATAACCTCTAAAACTAATAACTATACTTATTAAGATTATAAGACATGGGGTTAACACATCGAAAATGATTATTTTCCTATTCTTTGGAACCAAAATTCAAAATATAACTATTAACACTCAGAAAAAGGAGACAGAAATATTAGTATAAATATAACAAGACATGATAAGGTCTGAATGTTGAAAACTACAAAACATTAATGAAAGAAATCAAAGAAGACCTGAGAAACATCTATGTTTATGATTGGAAGAATCAATACTACAAAAAGGATAATTCTTCTCGAGTTAATCTGATTTATCTGATCAAACTTCTCAGAAGTATTTTTTTTTTGGTAGATAAAGAACTTATAAGATTTATATGAAAATGTAATCAAAGTAGGATAACTGAAAACAATTTTGAAAAAGAGTAGCCATCCTCTGGTAGGGAGATAATGGGAGAACTAGTTCTCAGCTAACACATACTACTACCAGATATTTTACATATGTTGTTTTCGTTCAATCCTCACAATAGTTCATTAAAAAACTGAATTTGTAAATGATGTCGAATTGCATATTTAAGGTCACAGGCCAGTAAACAAAAAAAGCCCTGTCTGTTTAATTTCAAAGTCCATTCTCCTGCTGCTGTGGCATTGATTCATTCAACAAATATTTATCAGAGTATTAGTGTTGACTGGCAAGGTATCAGGCACTAGGGGAAAAACATTTTGCAAAAGATACATGCTTCTGATCCCATGTTACTTAATGGTAGAGAAGGTAAAATCAGACATTCAATATAGGTACAGAAGTCGATATAAAATGAAAGCACAGTAGCTGTTAAAACAGAGTTCTTTGGCAAGCTGCCTTTTGGGTATTTTAGTGTCTGTGTTCCCTTCCTGTCTTTTAGAATTCTAAGATAATTGTTCTAAGGCATTAAGAAGATAAAAGGCACTTTTTTACCCTAGAAAATCTGGACATTTTCCCTGATCTGAAACATGCGAGGAATTTTTCTCATGGGGTATGGGCTTTTCCAAGGTTTAAAAACAAATTTAAAATTTGGCGTGTTTTTTATGGTAGGAAAGAGTTAAAAATTATATGTTACATTAAAGTCCGAATCAAGTGGAACTAGTAGTAAACCTGGTAAGTTTAAAGAGCCTGTCGGTCTCCACTAAATAACTACCAAGTTATTATTTAATTAATCTGCCCAAGGTAGGGGCAGAGAGGTAGGCTATGAATCAGGATCCTAAGACTCTGGTGTTATTTATCTAGTAATTTTTGAGAAATCCAAGGAATTGTGAGGACATAGCATTTGAACTGGTGTATAAACAACACTCATTAATTTTCTGAATGCATTTGATTATTCCAGGGTCTTTGGTTCCCCTTTTCCTCAGAGATGTGGCATCTGCACTTGTGGCAATGGGGAAGTTATACCTTAAGAAAAATCCTGTCTAATGATCTGACAGTGTAAAGAAGGTAGAGAAGGGGCTTTCTCAGAACTGGGAAGACCTGCCCTGGCTGGGAGGATGACTTCAGGATCGCTTTTTAACTGGGGCCACTGCTTCCAGCTGCTTTTGAACATGTTACAAGAGTTCATTTAGAAATCATTTTCACTGAGTTTTTTTTTTTTGACAGACCTGTAATCCTGTTTCCCAAAGGAAGCTAGTCTTCACCATTCAGGAAGGTTGTTTACACACAAACACACATGCACACCCATACTCACACTTCCTGCTATGAATTCTATTGTCTTAATGCTTTTTCCTCCATCCTTCTCAAGTCTAAATCCATCCATTCATCGGGGCCTTATTTAAGTCTTATATCATCTCCGATAAGCCCTCTGTTTGGAGTTGCAAACGGTTCATTGACCAACTCTGAATTTCCAGAGACTTTGATTAATTTTATTATGAATTTTGGTTATAATGCCATTTCTTAGAGATGTTTGTTTGTTGATCTTGTGGATTGGCTTCTTAATTTACTTATTTATTCTATCATTTAAGAAAATATTTAATGAGTCACAACTTTGTGCCAGGTCTTAAACAAGGTGCTAGATAGTCTTCAAAGAATAAGACATGAGTTTCATACAGTCTTATGTTTCTAGCTAAATGTATGCTCCTACATGTTGGAAATCATATTATTTTAGTGGCCACTATCTTCACTTACCTTAATCCCCCTCACAGTCTTGCACTTCCATTCAAGGAAAGGTACAATGTGTACTTAGGAATACATGAGTAAGTGAAGGAACCAGCCAATTCAGAAAACTGATGATGTAGTTAGGGGTTATTAAATCTTTGCTCATCTGTGATAGAGACCCAGATATCTTAAGGAATATAGGTACATGCCATCTCTAAGAAAAAAAACTAATTAAAATTATTCAAATAATTCAAAGTAACGAGAATGAGTATTCACTTTTGAAAATAATTCTTGGTTTTCCAAAAAATTTTGCCACAAAATTTCTTTAGATTTTGAACATTCAAAATGCAATCAGCTACTTCATAAGGTACACCTGCCAGGAGAGAGAGGTGCAGGAAGTAACAACTATACTGGTGTTGCCTACTTGGGCTGCAGTGAGTACAAACCTTGTTCCTAAAAGTGGCCCTCTGAGGAGTTATTTCAGCTGCCTCCTGACGTTGGATGTAATGCAAAGGCACACCACAGAGTTGTAGGACTTGATCCCTTTACATCATTCAAAGAGTATTGTGATGCACTGTGGGTTAAAAAGCTTTGCTAGGCAATGCCTTTCAGGTCTTGGGCTTATTAAACAGTAGAGATTCTTTGCTCTCTATGAGACTCTAGCAGCACATGAAAATTAGCGTGGAAAGAAAAAACATATGGGCAAATAAATGAGACGTGATCAGTAAAACTTCATTTTCCATAAAAATTATAAGAACAAGATGAGGTCAAAGATTTGGATTTTACTGTAATGGTAAGCATTGCCCTTTGCAAGCTGGATTAAGACAGTGGGGTTGGCAGGAGAGAAAAATGAACCTAACTCTTCTTGATCCAAGACTAAATTAGGCTCTATCTTGCTGCTAATGAAGCCATCAAAGGAGGCGGCGTTTGGTTGTTTACAAATATAGCTCACATGAAGTCACGGAACATCTCAGTAGCACTATTATATAGACCAGCAAGTCATAACTCAAGAAGAACAGAATGGCAAGAATGTACATTCAGACCAACCTTTACCAAAACCAAAACAAAGTACTGCTGTTACCCACAGTAGGCTGGCCAGGATGCAGGAATTCTTAGTTATGTTTGTAACTAGGAAGTATTTCCAGAAAGTTCTATATGGCTCTAAGCTGAAGTCAGAGGTTATATTGGGGATCCCACCAGGAGCCTAACCTACATGGAACAGACATAAAATAGTAAACTCAGTTTACTAAAAAAGTCTTAGTAACAGAATTTTTCTGAAAATAATTAATAGGAAAAATTTATAAGAATAGAAGCAACACACTAGGCTCACACTAATAGAAATGATAAGTGGTTCTCATTGTTGAGAAAGCATGTTCTGTGTGCTAACCATTGTATTAGCTACTTGGCACATACTGTCTCAAGTTTCCAAATATGACTATGAAAGACCAACATCTTCATCTGAGTGAAAGCTAAGGAGTTTGCCTGAAGGTTATAATCAATCCAGGATTTGAATCCAACTCTATCTGACACTGAACTACAGGTGAATTACACTTTAATTAAAATGTTAATTGTTGGGGCCTCCCTGCTGGCACAAGGGGTTAAGATGCAGCACCATGAAGCCATCCGCAGCCACTGCAGCACAAGTTCGATCCCCGGCCAGGGAGGTGACCCACATGGCACAGCAGACCTTTCCTGTCTCGCCCGCTGCTCCCCTCAGCAGTGTATTTCAGTCACTCCACCTGTTCTGCTCCCCACTCTGTCTCTGGTGACTCCTCTCACCTCCCACACCCCTGGCCTGTACCCCAGTTGTTCTACATACAAATAAAATCTTTTAAAAAAATATGTTAATTGTAAGAATTATAACCCATGTTCTTTATGGAAGAACAAACAAAATTCCCCTTGTTTTTCAAGAGCAAATACCTGGCAATCAAAAAAAGAAAATGCAAGGAAGACTTAAAAAATACCAGAAATGATCATGGTCCACAATTGGTGAATTTCAGTGTAGACATTGTTTTAAATATGTAAATATCCTAAGACTGCCATTAAAAATTAGACAGCTTTATAAACAAATTGTAGGAAACAGATAATACCGTAGATGCCATATGTATAAATTTTTTAAAAAGATTTATTTATTTATTTATTTATTTATTTATTTATTTATTTATTTATTTATTTATACAAGCACTAGGTACAGTCAGAAGCACGGGAGGGTGAGAGAATTCACCAGAGCCAGAGCAGGAAGCAGAACAGGCAGAAGGACCAAAGTACACTGCTGAGGGGAGCAGCAGGCGGCAGGAGAGGATTGCGCATCATGTGGGACCCTCGCCCGGTTGTCAGGGATCGAAACTGTGCTGCAGAGGCTGCGGGCAGCTTCGCAACCCAGCGCTCAACCGCTGTGCCACCGGGGAGGCCCCCATATGTATAAAATTTAAGAAAGTAATTTAAATAAAGTTAAAAACATATAACTCAGGAGTAAAATAACAAATTTGATGAGTGACCGACAGAGAATAAGAGTTTGCCTGGATTGGCCATCATGAATTCTTTAATCATTGGAGACCATTTTTGCATAAAGATGTTCATTTCAACAAACTTATTGACATCTAATACAGAGTTCTCTAACTCTTGGGTTTTAGGAAGTCCTTCAGACATTCCTAGTGTTCCTTTTAGAGGAGTGTTAGTGGGAACCTCCTAAAAAACTGGCCAGAAAGTTATCAAACTATCTTGCCCTCATGTCATATTGTTATTCAAAAAGCAAAATATACCAGGTCATTCTGACCATCATCCAGAGAAGCAGCTATCACCTTACAATACCTGAATCTTGTAATACCTGAATCTTATCTTCAAGGCTAGAAACAAATTCATTAAATAACTCTTTCCCAGGATCCAACGTTAACGTATCCACTGAGCATTATATGGGTGGGTGTCACCTTTCCACTTAAATTCACATTACTTCCTTGGTGACAGAGAGCTCTGAAATATTCCTCATCTGCAAAGAATATCTTCATATTCTTTTAAAAATAATACATGTCTTCATATTTCAGATAATACAGAAAATCATAGCTATGAATGTCAAAAAACAGAAAAACTATAATTGGGAACATTAAAATCATCTTAAATCCTTAATCCAGTGACAATGCTATTAATATTTTAGCTCAATAAATATATCAGTTATGATAGGACAGAGCAACTGTGCTGAATATTCCTCACTAGCTTTCCTGAAATAACTCCTTTCCTTCCCACCTTCGAATATGGAGTCAACCCCACACAGCAGGTTTCTCGGCCGCTTCTTTGGCCCTTTTGCTGGCTTCCTTATCTCTCTGGTATAAACATGCTTTCTAACAGATGAGTTTTCTAGCCTTAAAGAGTGTCAGGATCCTGTCAGTGGAGAGTGTCCTGCCCAGATTCTCCCTTTAGAACTATAGTTTCAACATCTGCTTGAGTATATGTTGCCTCTCGATGACTCACAACTTAATCTGTCTTGGGGAATTGCTCTGGCCAAAGGAAACTATCTTCTAGGTTTTATGCTCCCACTGCAGGCAGCCCACTTCCAGGGACTTATCAATATGAAGATACCAACACCCAGCCCCCCCAGGACTTAGTTTGGACAACCGTGAAGGGCCAGTCCAGCTCCAGATATCTCTGAAATCCAACTGGCTGATGTTAAACCGCTATCTTTTACAGCAGTTCTATTCCCCCCTTTACCCCACCCTGCTCCCATTGTACCACTATAGAGATAGTTCCCCAGACTATTCCCTAAATAAACTTCTCCCATGCAATTCTCAATTCTCTGTCTCAGAATCTGTTTCCCAGTGAAACTGATTTAAAAGAGCTGGTTCTGGAAGTGGTTTGAAGAAGACAACTCTAGCTGGATTTTGGAATTCCATCGCACTGGAGACTGTTGGTGAGGGCCATACTGCAACAGGGTGGTCCCCAGGAAAGGGGGAGGTTCCCTGCCCCACCCAAGGGAGGGTGGAGCTGAGCAGGAAGAGGAGAAGCTGCAGAAGAGACTAAGGAAGGAAGCAGGATGGAGCAAGGAGACCTGGAGGAGGCGCATGGAGCCTAGAGACACGTGAAGAAACTGCGCTTGTCTTTTGGTCGTGGACTGGGTGACACAGATGTGGGTGAGACCCGTGGGGAGGTAACAATGGCAGCTTTTATCTTGATGTTGATTTTGCTCTTTTCCTTCCGGGCTTGTCCAGTTGTTTGTGACCCTTTTCTGTGGGTCCCCACTGGAAGATGCTTTAAACTTGTGGCAGGCTTTGGGGCCTTGTTCTGGGCCAATCCCATTTGGATGGACTTTTACCCACGAGGGGACGGGTAACTCTGGATGCTTCATTTAGAAACTAGACTAAAAACTAAAAACTAGACTCTTTGCCTTACCTGTATTGTTTCCTAGTTTTATTAAAGTTCCTTCCCATTAAAGTCTCCTATGTTTTGTGTTGATGCGGCGGATGGCAGAACCCATGTAGAATAGGCAGGTTTGCGGGGTTTGGGCTGCCCCTCTCCCTGTCCTATAACAATACCACTGGGGGTGGGTGGAGCAAACACAGTCACTGGCATTCTGTAGTAGACCAGTTCTTAAGACTTTCACTTACGGTATAAAAGGATAGGATAGGAATTAAACAGTGTGTGCACAACTAGGTGCTATTTCTCAGGTACTTGAGAGTTAAGAGGAAGAAGTAATTATGAGAGCAATGAAATTGTTGGCTCTTCATGAGTACCACCTACATCTTAGATTGTAAACATCTAAGGGCAATGTGTCCTTTTTTTTTTTTTTTAAGATTTATTTATGCATACAAGAAATGGGATGTAGGCCAGAGGTTGGGGGGGGGCAGTGAGAGGATTCACCAGAGACAAAGTGGGGAGCAGAACAGGCAGATCCACCGAAACACACTGCTGAGGGGAGCAGGGACTGAGACAGTAAAGGTCCGCTGTGCCATGTGGGTTAATTCCCTGGCCGGGGATCGAACTCATGCCACAGTGGCTGGTGGTAGCTTGATGTCGCTGATATTTTAACCACTGTGCCACCAGGGAGGCCCTGTCCCTTTTTATTTTTAAGGTAAAACATGAAAGCAGAGGACACCTTCCAACTTTACAGCATCTGGAGACACTCTCACTTGCTGCAGCTTGAGAGCAGAAACAAGACAGGCCCAGAACTTAAATATCAGGAGAATGGAGCCCCAGGGAATAATTCCAACAAACTTGCCTTAATAATGTCAGGGCCATGGTTGGAAAGGACTGGTAACCTGAAATTTGCAATAAGAAAAAAGGGTTCAGCTTAGCGCAGTGGCAGTATCGTAGCCAATGAGGTTTATCTGAGGCGCGCTTATTGCTAAAAGAAAAAAGGGTTCAATGCATTTAAGAATCTTGAAAACTCAGACTCATCTGAATGCTCTTGGTCTACGGAAGTGGCTCAGCCTTCTCTATTAAGGGTTATTATTCCTCTCTTGCTTGCTTGATTGCTTGGAGACAATGCTAAGGCCACATACTCCCGGTAGAAGCTTTCCCACATGGAATTACTATTCTTCTCACAAA